TTTACTTGGGACCGATGCATAACACCGTAAAGTGTCGGGACTGACGCCGACGCTGCCAATTTGATAGATTTCTTAGTGAAAGAGACTGGACTGAAAACGGAAGACGTTCACTTTATTAATATACATTACCTTGTATAATACGATATTCACATGTTATAGTACCTACAAAGAAATTGATAAAAATATTTCTAGTAAAACAGACAAAATATTTTTTTTATTGGTCTGTTATTTAAATATTTTATCAAAACTGATTTTTTCCAATAAACTACAAATGAAAAAGTACCTGAAACTAAATTTTATCTATCGAAAAATCCTATGATGGGAAACAGAAAGCACTTAAAAAGAATAATTTTACAGAATACCGATTGCAACAAGGATATTATAATTGATAAAGATGCTGCTAAAAAATGTTATATAAAATTGAAATAGAAAAACATTTCGATAGTGCGAACATTTTAAACGTATTTCACGCGTCTTTTATGCTTTTATATATCATTTATAGGAGCCTGTATATTTGCGTTCTCTCTTGGGCCCATCTCTCTGTATCGCTTTTGGGGCGGGCGAGACCGATTTAATTAGACGGAAACGTAGTTACAGGCCCGAGGAGTATAGCGAGAGACAGTATTCTCGCCGGAGCGCCGCAGAGGGAAAAGCCTGCGAAAACGCGGGCGTTAAATTGCGGTGAAATTCGCGAAGAGATCCGTCTCTTCGCGATAGTAACGCATGCGACACCGCCGGGCCAATTTCCCTGCGGCAATTCCGCACGGCATCGGCCGAGGGAATACGTCAATCCCGGCGACAGCGATGTCGTTGAGACGTCGCAATCGTTTCGCGGGATCCACGCCCCGCATCCGATCGACAACCAGTTCACGAAATTGTAACGGAGAACGCACGTGGTACAGGGTTAATTTTTTCCGACTGCAAGTGTATCCCTCGCACGGGTCGTTATTAGTTGAACAAGAAATGCATAAGCGCGCGACGATCGAAAACAGGCTTGAACGGTCATCTTATTTATATAGCAGAAAATTTGTTTAACAAACTTGTTCGTAGCGCTTCATCGATAACGTTCGCAAGACAAGTAGTTGGTAGCTCGCAACGAAGAGAGCTGGCATATTGCCGAACACGAGAATTCTTGTCGAATATTTATTATTTTCTAAACAAGAATCTTAAAGTAATATTTTGATGTATATATTGTAATTAATATAGATGTATTATTATAACAATAATAATACAAAACGTAATACATTATTTTTTATTTTTTATATATTTGCGGACTATTCTATATTGATATAAGGCGTTAACACTACATGCGTAAAAGATATTCGCGACTAGAATATAATTAAATGTTCATATATTTGTAACTAATAACTAATTTAATATAATAGTTACTTTATACATATATTTCCAACTTATTTGTCAGTATGAGTTACGGTCCACTTGATGTTACAAATACTTTGAAGCATTTGTGGCGCCAAGTGGATCGCATCCTTAATGTGATTAGTTAGATTTGAATAACTGCACTACTGACTGCGTAGAAGAAAAAGTCGCTCAATGAGTATTTGGTGATTTTTTATTACGATTGATTTGTATATTTAAATCCTGCAAAAAACTAAAGGCAAGAATAATAGGTATATTAAAAATCACTAAGCGCGCATTGAACTGATGGGCTGTTTTCTGAATGCATTCATGCAGTGTTCCCTACATGATTCCTATTGAACTCGAAATATATATAGATGTGTGTGTGTGTGTGTGTGTGTGTAATATAATTTTAAGAGAAATATAATACAATATAATATAATAAATTCTCCTATTATTTAAATAAAATTGTGTAACATATAAACATAACTGTTTTTCTCTGATGTTTTTAATGATATTAATATTATGTATGTTGTTCTGTTATGACAATAGAAAAGTACGTAACTGAAAAAGTAACGACTTGTTACTTTTTAAGCAACTCTAACTGTAACATGTTTTTTTACAATTGGTAACTTATAACTAACTATACTTACTTTTTGAAAGCAAAAAATTATAAATGTAATTATAGTTACTTTTACAAATTAACTTTGCTAATTCTGCATATATTCAAATAAAGAATATATAGATTATTAACTTGATAGTATTAAATAACGAAAATCAACTGTTACATTTGCAATAATCCAAAATAGGCCACTTGTATTAACATAGCATAAATAAAACTTTAAAAAATTATGTTGCATTAGCTAATAAGGGTCTAAATAATATAATTGAGAAGTTCGACATAATTTAAATTTTCGTTTATTTCAATCCATTATTTAAGCTTAATGCTTATAAATAGTCTTTTCGGAATATGGGCCGTCAACACTTGAGTCCTATAAAATTAATAACACATAAATACAAAAATCATTTCTTCTTTACAATAATAATGTACAAAATATTTCTATTTAAAATATCTTATTCTGTTTTTTATATATAATATAATAACATTTAAAGAAGGATTTATTTGTAGAATATTTCTTTTTCTTTCATTCTCTCATAAATCTTTTATATTTAACATGTAAAACAGTAACATGTAAAATAGAGTAAAATATATTAATATAAAAATTTCTTATTATGCAATTTATATATACGTCAATTTGTAATAATATTAATAGACAACTATTAATTAATATTAAATTACAAACATATTAAAATTTGATATTAGTGGAAATAATGTATAATGTCAAAAAATTAGTGAATATACCTTTTATACATTTTTTACGTTATGTACATACTCCCTGTAGAGCAAGTCTTCTTGCTTCTTCAGCAGTCATACTGCAGGCATATACTGCAGGCATTATTGTAACTGTTAGCGTGAAAACTGCAGCCAAGAACAAACGAAATGTTATTGTATTCATAATTATACGTTATATTTCAGTATAGTTTTTAGAAAAACTGATTTTTCTCTAAAATCTGCGTGATATATATATATATCAAAAAGGTACATAAAAAAAAACTTAATCAGACAAAATAAAAATATTATTGGCACGACATTTCTGCGTAATCAGGAATCGTGAAGAATAAAACTGCATTATACATGTTTAAAAGAATTGTAAAAAATTGATCACAGATGCCATTACGACGGAAAAATATAAGTATTAAAACAAGTAAAAGAGATTACAGTGTTATTTTTAAAAATAATAAAAAGCTATTGTAATTAATCAAGCAATAATTTTCGTTTAGAACAATACCCTAAAACTATTTATATTATTTTCGTCATAAATATGTAAAACCCTTTAGTTTAGTAATCTATTAATAATATAAAATATATAATTAATATACATTATAATAAAATTTACTATTTATTTTTGTATGTTATATTGTAAAATTAATATACAATGATAGAAAGATGAAATTTAAAAAATACAAGAATTTTATAGACCTGTGGGATCCTCCGCAGATATAAGTGCCTAAAACTATTTATCGAGCAAAAAAATGTACTTGCTTAAATTCAGTACTACATCGAAATTTTTACGACCGCAAATCACTACATGCTTATCAATCATAGCGCGTAAACGTTTCAACTCTGCTTCGAGTCCTCTTCAGTGCGATAAATAAAAATATCATCATTACAAACAATCTAATAGCATTGATCTCTGTTAATCTCATCGTCGCTTCTTCCCATCGTCACAGTTAAAAATCCAAATTGTTCATAGTCAAATTAAAGGTTAACTATTTAGACGGATGTCTGTCATGATGTTAAGAAAAGATTAAATCCATAAAATTGTTAATCATTAACAATTTTATGGATTCGATCTATCATATGCAGTCTCCTAATTTTTTACGTCTAATCGATCGCAGAAAAATTTTCTCTATGGAATATTGTTAGTGGTGTTTTATTGATAACGTTTCCGAGATCAATATATATAAATGATGACGTAGACGCGACAAAGCGAACTGATACATTGCCGAGGATTGTCGAATATTATAATTATTTTCTAAACAAGAATAGTAATTAAAATAGTATCTTAATATACAGAACAGTTCATTTATAATAAAAAATATAAATATATCTCGAAAAATATAGAAGACACTCTCTTTTCTGTAAATACGTTTCCGGACTAATTTCCCTCGAGCGACGACTTAATCGGACGTGAAAAACTAATATGTACCGTGGCAATATTTATCTGCGAACTGACATTTCCTCATCCACGCCCGAGATTCGCGCGGCTTACATCCGGATATACGTCCGCTCAATAGAAGGCGAGGAGAGTTCGCCGATTGACCCGATAATTCGTTCGATCAGACTTTTGTTAGCCGCAGCAGAGCGAACAACGTCTTTCTCAGTCTCCGGCGTAAAAGTACCGGGCATCTACGCCGCCTCGAAAAATAATCGAAGATCTTCTCTGTCGTGTTCCGTGAACCGTGGGAAGAAGCCGTGTAAATCAGATTAGACGCCATTTTGAAACTAATGAGCCGGGAAACGGGACTTCGAATCGAGAGAGGAGAGAAAGACAGAGAGAGAGAGAGAGAGAACGATTCTTCTCTTCACTGTACACGCGGTTCCTCTTATCCTCCCCTTCGTCTTCTTTCTCCAGCCTCGCTTCACCTCCAGCCTCTTCCGCTTCCTCTGAAATTTCCAAAGCATTTCCTTCTTATTTCCCTTTATTCCTCCTCTTTGTTCTCTTATCCCGTTCTCCCGTCCCCATCCCCGTCCACGTCTCCTCATCCTCGATCGGCCTTCCATCCCCTTTGCATCCTTTTCAGTACTTGAAAACAATAACGCATTCCTGCAGCCGCGGCACGGTAATTAACCATTTGTTAGACGCTGCGGAAACAATGGTCCTCGTCCGTTTACTTGCGCGTTATCTCCTTTTACTTGTACAATGGTACGCCGGTACGGCATGATTAGCACGTTTTACAACAAAAACGATCGAGATTTGCCGTGAAAGATACGCTATTTTACAACGTTCGACACAATTTGAAAAGTTCCCGACTGCCAACGAAATATTTTACTGCAGGTGCAGTCTACTAATTTATGCGGCTTTTATTAAATCTCAAGCGATGTTGAAGTTTTGCGAAAAGGCTCCGACGATTTGAATCATATATAACGTGTAAGTATAACACATTTCTTCAAAGTTGGCGGCATGCCTTATTTTTCTTTTATTTATATCCCTTGTTCCTTCAAAAATTATATAAATACGCACATTCATTTTTTCCATGTAATTCATGTGAGCTATTTTGCCTTTTTTCGATCTTTAGTCTTTCTAATAATATATTATATAAAAGTTTTAATTTTCAATTTTTGCAGTCTGACAATGCATTAAAAATCAATGCATTAAAAGTCCATTTTAGACGATAAATCAAACTTCAGAAAATTAAATTTTTTTTTAATTTTATTTATAATCACATTAATTTTACTTATAATCTTTACTATGTAATATATGAAAAAAATTGGAATCACTCATATGTAAAAGCATACATAATTAAATGCACATGACACATATCTTGAAATGCATGGTACACACAAATAAATATAAGTGGAAACGGGATTTCTCTCTTAAAATCTGACTAAAATTATAAATCTAAAGTGGACTTAACGTTTAGTCAAATGCCAAGAAATGAAGAACGAAAATGAAGGAGAAACTCTTCGCGTTATAATTATATTTAAATTCTCAAATAAATTTCACAATCTAATTGACTCTATAAATATTGTCGAGTGATATCGTTAATTGTCGAGAAAAGAAAGTCACCGAAAACATTAAATATTCCCTTCAATAATTATCATTAATTTATGTTGTGCGTGTAATAAACATTGTGATAAGCCTAAGAAAAAATTAGATAAGCATAGCGAGTTTTTGGCGATCTGCAAAACGTCAGTGCAATATCCTCATCTTCTCCATAATCTGACGTATTTTCTCCGCAGTATCGATAATCGCATTAACTCTCGTCTTTGGCAAAATATTACGGAGACGCGTGAAAGAGAGAGAGAGAGAGAACCATAAGGTAAATTTCCGTCTCTTATGTGCGGTTTGACCTAATAATTTGTTATTACGTCAACGACCGTGCTCGTCGCGCGTATCTCCGCTGCGGCCCTCGGCGCGAAGTTAATTTCGCCCGGTTTTCACGTTAAATCAGAGAATTTAACGAAACGCTTCCTTCTGACTGATAAAATTCAGCAGTTTACGATGCTTGTTTGCATGCGAACGAGATGAGAAATGTAACGGGCACGAATGATAGTCGCGCTTAATCGCTGAAATTCCCAGCGTCCGCTGCCGCGCGCAACGGAAGTTTCGCGTGTGTGCGCGCGAGGGGGGTAAAAAAAAAATAAAACTTCGCCTATTAATCCTGCGCGCGCGTAGATCCTCGTCCGCGGCGCGGTACGGTGGTCGCTAATCAGGATGGCGTTAAGCCGCTTAGTCGAGCGTACGAAGCTAAACGGTGATAATAAAAACAAGCGTGCATAAATTGTGCGAGCTAGACGAACGGTAATTTCCGAGCATTTAGTTAGGGATTTAATCCCGGTTCACAGATACGAAGGGAGGGTATTTTTCACCCTCTCGTGTTTCCGCCAAGTGTCAGTCGTCTCGGGTATACGTTCGCCCGGTTCGCGCGTCCAGTTTTGGTCAAGGAAATGTATGTTGCTCTACCGTCTGTGAAATACAACTGAAGAACACGCGCAGTTAGTTCATAAAAATGGTTAAAATGTAATTAAGTAGTATAACACTAAACGGACATCGCACGCACTCGACCGACAAAGAAAATTGCTCTCTTTTTGTGTAAAAAATGCAACGTTCTTAAAGTTAAAATTGAAATAGAAGGGCTATATAATCAGTAAATTAGAATTTTCCAAAAATGTCATTGTTCATCGTAATATTTAATTAACACATATATAGTTATTTATCTATTTATTATTTAAGAAATAATAAAGCAAGTTAATAAATAGTTAATTTAATTAACTATTTATTTTTATATAAATAAAAATATTTCTAATAAAGAAATAGTCAATTTAACTAATTATTTATTTAAAATATTGTATTGTCACTTATTTGGAAATATTAGTGATGTTATATATACCGTTCTACTAGTGTAGTAGTGCGTATCCACTTTCATAACAGATGAATTATATATAATACGATAATGAAGTTAAAAAAGAAATTATCGACTTGGCACGAGAATCCTAGAAATCTAATTACTGTGCTAAAAGTACGCAGAGAAATAGAGAGAAGCGATGTTCGGATTTATATAACCAAACTGGATATACATATAACTGTCGCAGGTAGAATCGAATCTGTCCACCAGACCGGAAGAGCAACACGATTGCGGGCGCGATAGCGAACTATGCCAGACAGATTAGTACCGATGCTCTCCTGGGCGAATATACCCCTGCAGCTAATTACCTGCTACGTCACGCTCCCGTGATAGAAATCCTAATTACATATTCGCAACTTATATTCTATCGCGTTGTTTGTTAGGGGACAATGAGAGAATTTTGCCGAGGGATTAAAGCGAAATCGAATTCGAAGGATTCGCGAGAGTACATTTGATGCGGAAAAACCACGGTCACCATTAAATTAACAATTAAATTGATCTTGAAATGTTAAAAAGAATAAGATAAAGATTTAGTTCGATGCACAGAAAATCAGAACGGTACAGAATTATTTTGTAAACATATATACAAAATGATAAAGCAGTAAAAAAATACAAAAAAAAATAAATTGACACTAAAATTCAATAAAGTTGTATGAATTATGTGATGCCCGTGATCAATAACAGATGCTTGACGGAAATTACAATTAATAGCCATTGAAAAGATTAAAAACTGATAAAAAATAATATTTAAAGTTAATATTATAGTTTCACAATGTTTAGGTAGCAAAGCCTCAATACGTTCTTAAAAAGAATAAAAAATTATTTTAATAATTTTACATTATTCTATGACTTATATAGTTACATAGAAAAATGAATAAAAGAACTACTATTAAAATAGTATTAAAATATCCAGAAAAGTTTATCATAAATTACAATAAAATATTTACATATTTGCTACTAACAGCTTTTTATTCATCTCATACTTATTTGTAGCATAGAAAATATGAAAAAAACGTAAAATATATACCTTCTATATTGTGTATAATTATTCTTTCATTTGAAAAAATTATTCTTTCAAAGAGTACATTTGAAGGAATAAAAAAGAAACCTATTGATGGTTTAATTCTTACATTTTTTATATGTAAAAAATTGTGTTCTTTATAATATTCATGATATACATAAGATTGTTTAAAGCATAACAAGGACCAGCTCTTGCCAATTCCTCGTCATTCGCAACCTTTAACCAAAATCTGAAAAAATAATTCCGTACTCAAATTTATGCTGCTATTATCACACTAGAAATTAATCCTTCAATCTTGTACATTAATTTTTAATTGTTAACTGATGTATAATTTATGATTAATAAATTCTCTTACATAACTGCTTAGCGTATTATAAAAATTTAATCTATTTAGATTATTTTTTTATAACTATATATGAATCACAAATCGTGTCGATGATGCAGTCGATAATAGCTAAAGTTTATTATATTGTAGCTTCATATTGTTTTTATTTTCTATCCACGAGTTGGCATGCTATGATAATAATAGTAATATAAGTTTATTATATTTTATATTTCTCTTTATTTGTTTTGTAAAAATATTAGTTTTATTTATTGTAGATATTGGCACCTGATATTTTTTATTTCACCACCACGATTTATTCTCGTGTTTACGCGAAGTAAACATTATATTTTTAAGTATAATGATATCAAATGGTAATTAATAGTAATTTTCAAGAAAAAATTATAACGTCCAATCATTGACGATTGATCCAATTGGGTGCACGTGCCACGTTGATACGTATGCACATATCCGTACACTCACGCATATATGTACACGCATGATTATATAGACACAGAATGCAACCCTGTCTAAGCTAAAATAAACGGAACTATTAATTGGAAACGTGTGTAAATTCTACTGTGCAGACGCCGCCATTTGAGCAAGTATAATATGTATACGTACCGACAATGTATACCACCGCGCATTAAATATCAAAATATTTGTTAATTGTTATTTGCAAGTAATAATCGAGGTTTCAATTCTGTCTATTAAAAAAAAAATTGTCTTCAGCGTGAATGTTTATTTATATCCGTTAAGCTGCATCTTATGCTATTAAAAATTGAAGCATATTATTAATGTATAATATTACATCAATAAAATATTTTAAAATTGTCAAATTATCTACCTATATCTGAACAAACAAGATTAAGTTCGTGAGATTAGTTTTTTGATAAATTATTTTTAAAATAAATTTTCTCTACTAACTCGAGTAATTATAATATGTTTTAAAGTTTTAATAATAAATGATTCACAGACATTTGAACTAACCACCATTGTTGCGACTTTAAAATAATTGTAATGTTTTACAGTAGAGGTCAGTAAAGACAAGGTCCAAAATTTTATAGTATGCATACGTAAATTAATTATCTATAAAACGTTATTTTTTCAATAGGATACATTAAAAAAATATTGTTAATATTAAACGTAATTTACGGTAAATAACGAAATCCGCAGAAATATTAAAGATCCGCAATACTATAGGTAAACTTTTTTTTTTACCAATCAAGTGATAACATATTGATAAATGCAAAATGTAACCGATTGTTGATAACTATAATTACGATTTTAGCTACACGCGCATAAATCGACTAGGAATACAAATACATATATTAGAAATCTAATATGTTCTGCTGATTGAAATAAAAATATTGATTGAGACAATATAAAAAATTTTTATTAAAAAATTTATTTACTGCTAACTGAATTCAAAAGTGATAGTTATCACAAATATTATCTTTAGTATATAGAAAATAAAATAAATAAATTAAGTAATATATATTTGCAAAGATGTATTATCGTACGTAGAAAATATATCTCGAATCGATACAAGAAAATTCGATTAATCAGATAATCTTATATATTCAAGCAACAATTTCATAAAAGTATTATTCAAAGGCACGAAACCTGTTTTATTTATCAAAATGCGCCATTTTTCAACATTTATTTCATCGGTGCAGTGATCGGAATTATAACGAAATTGCAGGTGAATTTGAGACGAATTCAAAGAATATCGCTGCGAGTCGATTGTGAAGCGAGTCGATTAGTCGTGCCATTACCATCTTTATTAACGCGTCACGTAAACTACCTAGATTGAATCTGCTTGATAATGCTGCCAACGCAAAAGCGTGAAGCACAGCGGCAAACAACCTTTTCAACTTCACATGGAAACATCGGGCTTTTGTTTACGATTGATAATTTGACAGACGTTGTGAAATTTAGCGGAGTCCTCTGAGATATGGAAAATAATTCGCTTAAGGAGCAACCCGTAGAAAACACAGGTCTCTTAGCAGTAATTTGTTATTGAGAAGTCAAGCTGGATAATTTATTAAATCTTTATTGCAGATGTCAACCAGGACGAGTTGATACTTCAACAACAGAGACGTATCGAGAAGGAGGTTAATATGCCGCTTGTGTCACGTTTACAAAGTGTTTTTGCAAAAGACGCATTAATTTCGTTTAATTCGCGTGATTAAAAATAAAATTTATCGCATATTCAAATTAGCCTTGTCACCTTCTTCAAGTATCTCATTTGTGAAGGCGTCTCGACATGAGAAACGGAGACTATTTTATTATTTATAATTTATTACTCGATGAAACGTATATCTATGTTTAAACAATATTACACTGCTTTTAACAGTTTGAATTTTACTCCTTAAGCTAACTTGACAATTATCGAATGCTTTCTTTTTAATGAGATCTAGGACTTCCATGAGATTTCCATCTTTAGATACACAATTATCTTCTGTATTTCAGATCTCGGAATCTATAGCATTAGTTGGTGAAAAGGAACCGCTGAAGAGCTTAGAACAAGAATATGCGGAAGATGATGTGTATCTTTCGAAGGCGAAAGCCTTGGCTCAAAAGTATTCTTACATTAGGAGAACTAGACCCGATGGCAATTGTTTCTTCAGAGCATTCACTTATGCTTATTTGGAGAAATTAATTGGGAACAAAGAGGAGTACGATAAGTTTCGTGAACTAGCTTTAAAAAGCAAGGATAGCCTTGTGGCACTAGGTTTTCCCCAATTTACAGTCGAAGACTTTCACGATACGGTGAGACTTTGTGCTTTCATCTTTGAATTAATCCTACGTATAATAGTACATCACGTAACAAATTATAAAAATTTATGTTAAATTTTAAAAATATACATATTAATATACAAGTTTTTAAAAAGCATGCGTAGTATATATCTAATATGTATCTATATATATATATATAAACGTATGTATCTTTATATGTATTGTGTTTATTACATATGTATATATATATATATATTAGATAATACAATTTAGTCACACAATGTAGAGTTTATTGTGAAGAGCATGAGATTGATTTTGAATTTGAATTTTCTGATTTGAATTTTTACAGTTTATGGAAGTCATTGACAAAGTAGGCGGTGACACAGAATCCAGTCATATGGAGTTACACAAATTGTTCAATGAACAAGGTTATTCCGATTACGTCGTTGTGTATCTTAGATTAATTACATCCGGTCAGTTGCAGCGCGACGCTGACTTCTATCAACATTTTATTGAGGGAGAACGTACTATCTCAGAATTCTGCCATCAGGTTTGTATCTTACGTTAATTTTTCGATCTTTCTATGCTGATATTTATTCTAGTATACTTCTAATACTTTATTTTACTTTTTTTTTCTAGGAAGTCGAACCAATGTATAAGGAATCCGACCATATTCACATTATAGCAATGAGTAGTGCCCTAGGAACTGGTGTTAGAGTTCGTTATATGGATAGGGGTGCAGGAACTGAAGTGACTGCTCATGACTTTCCTGAAGGTGCCATACCAGCTGTGCACTTATTATATCGTCCCGGTCACTATGATATTCTTTATCCTTGATGAATCTGACGTTATGCACTTTTTTTTTTAAAATACGATATAAAAAATAATTTCTAATGGCCAGATTTAAACTTCAAATCCTATTTTCCAAAACCGTTTTAATTAAAATACGCAATGTGTTATCTTCAATCTAAAGAGAAAAGGAGTAAATATAAATCGATTTTGTGTTTAGACACATTTTAGAAGCCCCTAAGTTTATGCGTATGAGTTTGTCGATATATCCTATCGTTTATAAGTGTCATTTTTAATTTTAAGACTAATTGTCTGGAATAAATATCAAAGCATATATATATATCGTGGTACTTAATTCCCGTGGTATTCCTTTCTTTTTTTCTGTCCCTCATTCAGGTGTTTACATAAATAATGTTAAGTTCAGTCATCTGAAAAATTAATATATTTCGCAGTAATCTTAAAAAGAATATTATTTCAACTTTATATTTCTTACATACAGAATGTAAGTTATATATTTTAATTACATATATATTAATTTTTTAAATATATATGCAAACATATTTGTTCTCAATCTACAAATACATCACAGAAATGAAAGACATTTTGTAATCTTAACTTAATAGCGAAAGAATTCATAGCAAAAAGAAAAAGAGAAGAAAGACAATTCGATGTTATATAAATAATTTTTAAGTCGTATTTCCCAAATTTAGAAAGACGCCCCCCCTCCCCCATGTTCTTAAAATTAATAATCAATCCTGCAACATAACATTCACATTATATCATTTATAACACATATATCCTGCAGATACGCATTAAATAGTTCTCTTATATACAACATGAAATAAATACTTTTGTCAACATTATGTCATTGTCATGGTTGCCACCTTCTAAGAAATACTGTGCCGGACATGTAGTGTTTTGCCAAAAGATTTTTCATTGAGCCCAAATAAAATCATCCTGCTTTCTCAACAAGGTTATCATTTTTATCAAAATTTAAAGCGCTCACTCGGAGATTATTTTCGCGTTCCGGAGAACCGGAGATTTGTCGAATGCCGCGGAGTCTCCGGGCGAAAATCGAAGAGGCGGCAACCGTGGTTATCGTTGCATAGATCGCACTTGTTCGGTGACCTCTTCCAACATCGTCGAACTTTTGTCAATCGTGTCCATATGATACTCCAGGTGGGTAGCGATGAGTGCGAGCTTCTTCAAACCGGATTCCATCGTTTCCAATCCATGCTCCTGCTGTGCGAAATTTCTCGCTGCGTGCATTAAAATCTGCAAGAACAACGGAGTACGTTTGTAGCGTGTACAGAAATTACTGCAATAGACAAGCCGTAATCTTTCCTGGAAGCCCAGTTAGTGAAAATAAAAATATTACTTCGCTGCTTCTGGAGCCTCGTTGTATCTGCCTGGCGAGCGAGGCGATGTTGTTGACGTTAACCTGCACCCTATCCGCCAGTCTCATCTTCGATTCGATGAACAAGCTACGCGCGCTTGTGCTGGACGCTGAAGCCATGTTGTATTGTTTCTCATTAATTGTCGGGTAGGTCTTGCGCCTGATATTATCCAGGATAAACCGTGGTGTTTCTGGTTGATTGGTATTCTTATGGGAGAGACTGTTTCATTATATCTGAAGAAACATTACGTGTACAATTGGAGGCGATGTTTCTTGTAATTTGCATCTTATCTAATTTCAGCACATTAAAGATATTATTAAAGATTACCTTAAAGATATCCTTTATAGGCGTACGCTTTTACGCATTTGACGTTTTTTTTCCCCTCTTTTACTCCACCGACAGGTGAATTATAGCGCCTTCAAAAAACGTTTTTTTTTTTTTTAAACGAATCGCATCTAAAGAAAAATAAGAAATCGATTCGTAAACACGATGTACTCAAATTGCCCAAATAATCACAAATACCTCACACAGCGAATTCGACACATGCAACTATTTTTGCAATCGCACTACCTTTCTGCACTTCAAATAAAGCAGGAGTGTGCGATTAGGACGTCGGAGAGACAAGGAGACAGGATCAAAAGTGTCGAAAGAGTTCAGCTGATTCAGCTGCGAGGAACAACAAACGTTCCGTCAAGTGTTTTTAAAGACCGCTATGCATGAAGGTGTCCAAATGCGGAAAGTGCAATTGAAGGCATTTCAATCGGTATGAAATATTCAACGAAAATTCCGCTGGACGTATAGTTAATGTCAATATATCGACCTCTTATCGCTCTCGAGAGCGAACTTTAACCTTTAACCTTTTTGTCGTTAAATTCATACGCGGTAGCCTTTAGCTTGCGCTAGTGACAGTTAAACCCTAGTGACGCGCAGTGCGAGCGATCGAATTTTCCGTTACCTTCTTGGAGCGTTATTTTACTTTAAGGTTACGTTGCAGATCCTAACCAGAGGGCAGAGAGGATCCTGAGAGCGGTCATGCCCGCGATTTAGCTGCGATGGCGATTGAGCTGGTTTCATCGCCTCTGGAAAGTGGACATTGAACTACCAACTAGAGAGACCACGCTTTCCGTCCAACGCGTGCTTCTCATTGGTCTCTCTAGTTGGTAGTTCAATGTCCACTTTCTAGAGGCGCTGAAACCAGCTCAATCGCCATCGCAGCTAAATCGCGGGCATGACGCTATGACCGCTGTCAGAATCCTCTCTGTTTATATAAAAGAAGAACCTACCTATACGGTTCGCGCGCGAGGAAAATATAACCTCGAAAACGTATTTATTACGTTATTGCATTGTTTTTTTCGAAGATCACACACGCAAGACGACAGGTAATGTCACCGAACGCGCCTGTGATAATTTAACGAGCAATTACGAGAGAAGGATAAGCAATTTTTAAAAGCTTGTACTTTTTCTATTTAATTAATTAATTATTAAATTAATTAATATATTAAAGCAGATATATAAATCAGATTATTTATTAAACATTCTTTATATTTAATTTTATTTTCATTTTTATTCTTCAAATCATTCTCTTCATCCGTTGTAATCCTATTCCCACTATCTTTATTCTTACATTCAATTTTATGGACATCTTTATTCTCTGATTCTTCTGTCGAATCGTTATCTTCATCGTGTGAGATTTTTTTCTCATTCTGGATATTTTCATTCTTAACTTCATTGGCATCTTCATTTTTTGATACTTCTAAATCATTGTTTTCTGCACATATTTTTCTGTACATATTTTTTGATACTTCCAAATCATTGTTTTATGTACATATGTACATAAAAAGTGAAAATCTATGACCTGTATGGAAATGATGATATCTAATTGTTCAAGAACTGAATTCTTTGTCCTTATAAAATAATGTTATGATTTGGCGTAAAACTTTAATGAGGTTTCACGAGGCCTGTTTTGACTATTTTGCGTAATGCTACCTTTTTGAACTTTGTTAAATAATATAAAACTTTGTGTACATGCATAATGGTTAGCTGGTCTCAGAAAATATGTATATAAATAAATTACGCCTTATACAGAGTTGATATTTATATATTCATATCTATAATTATGTATATATAATCTTTTGCTGATAAAACTCTGTTTGAATTGACAGCATTATCAGTTAAATCAAAATGGAAAAGGATGACGCAAAAAAACCACAGTTGTTCACAAAAATTCGCTTCAAGTTCAATTCAAAAGAATCTTCTGAGAAAAAAGAAAAAGAAGAAAATACCAAGAAAAGGATGAAAACGTCACAGGAGGAAGATAGTAATTCGAGGAAAAGATTGAAAAGTGAAGATACCTGCAAAGTTAAATGTAAGGGTGAAAATATTAGAAATATAAAGACGTCACAGAATAAAGATAGCGATTTGACCGAAAAATCGAAGAATGAAGATGCCAATGAAGTTAAATACAAGGAAAAAAATATTCAGCATAGGGAAAAAACCTTACAGGATGAAGATAATAATTTGACGGAAAAATCGAAGAATAAAGATGCTAATAAAGTTAAATACAAGACTGAAAATATCCGGAATAAGAAAAAAATCTCACAGAATGACGAAAACGATTCGACGGAGGAATCAGAAAATGAAAATGCCCATAAAGTTAAAGATATTGAGAATAGAATAAATGCGTCACAAAATAAAGATAGTGATTTGATGAAAAAATCGCAAAATGAAAATGCCTATGAAATTAATAAGGATGAAAACGACCGGAATAGGAAAAAAACTTTACAGAGTGAAAACAATGATTTGGAAGTATCAAAAAATGAAGATGCCAATGAAGTTGAGAATGAAAATATCCAGAATGAGAAAAAACTCTCACAGGATGAAGACAACGATTCGACGGAAGAGAATAAAGATGTTCATAAAGTTGAATGTAAGAATAAAGATAGTGGGAATAGGATTACAACATCAGAGGATGAAGAGAATGATTTGAATAAAAATGAAAATAAAATTAAATATAAGAATAAAAATATTAGGAACAGGATAAGAACGTCACAAGATAAAAATAGTGATTCAATGGAAATGGATTCAGAGAAAAAAGGTACTTGTAAAGTTAAACAAAAAAATGAAAATATCCCGAATTGGATGAAACAGAAGGAAGATTCGATGAAAGAATCGGAGAATGTAAATGTTAATAAACTTAAATGTAAGGATGAAAACATCAGGACTGGAATGAAAACATCTCAGAATAAAAAGAGCGGTTTGAAGAAACAATTAAAGAGTAAAAATAAACGTGAGACTGAAGATAATGAAAAAAAAATAATAGAGACGTTACAAAATAAAAATTCGGACATGTCGAAAGAAATGCGAAAAAACAAGTACATTTGTGAGGTTGAATTGAAAAATGAGGGTGTATTAGAAGACGAGTATTGTAGCGATGCGACATATCTAGCACAACAAATAGCATTAGCAGAGCAACTGGACAAAGAAGAATTAGCGGTATTGAAATCTTGATAGAAAATTTAATTTGACAAAAGCTTTTCAAATGAAATATATATGTATAACTAATTTTAAATACTTTTCATTGCAGAAATTGAGAAACTTATGCGTGCAACTGAGACATGAGGCACCGCCACAGCACTACATTGAAACACGAGCTGGGTCTCACTCAGTAACACAAAAAGAAAAAGAAGAATTTGAAAAAATAATACCGATTAAAAGGGGCTTATTTTCTTTTGAAGAGGACAAAATTATCGCTAATAATTGGAAGGCATTTTGCAAGGTTAGTATGCAAGCTATCTCTATTTGCTTTTTCATTTTATTATCTAAATCTCACTTATCAGAAATATTTTTTAAATACAATTAAAGAATTTTTCGTAATATGAGTATCTAATGCAAAAATTATTTACAATGTTAATTCTGCTAACAGTTGCATGATTGGGATGTAGAAAAAGTTGCACCTTTTTTAAAACTAAGAAACGGCACACAGGCATACATTCGTAAAATCGAAGACAGACAGAGATTTGTACAATTTTTAGCCGATGGTTTACCAGACAGAACTTTGTACAGTGTCTATCATAGATTTAGAAATTTATACGAGAATAATCAACAAGGAAGGTAATGTATAGCAAAATTTATATATATATAGTGCCATTCATAAATGCTGTTCATTCATAAATTCTTTTTAAACGTAAGCTAATGTAGAAATTAGCAATCTAAGCCAATCAAGCAAACTCAATGACATCCAAGTAATCTAGAAAACTTTGCCCGATTGACTGAGATTGTTGTAAAATTTCTACATTGAAAAAGTATAGCATTAATGCATAGCACTGAATGTAATTACCTTTATGTACTTTTATATAATTGTAAAGTAAATATATCAATTTGTAACAATAGTAAAAAAAAATTAACACTTACGTTAAATTGGCTAGATATAAACCTGAAGAAGACGAAAGAATAATAGAACACTTAGAACATAATCCATTTCTCAATGAAAAATGCAAGTATGCTGTTTTGGCTAAAGCTCTTCAGAGAACAAGACACTCCGTTTGGCGACGTTATCGAATATTAAAAAAGAAAAACAAAATACTTAAGGATGATTGATTTATTTTTAATAAGTTATTTTCGTCACGGTAGAGTTTAATTAATCATATAATAACGTGACGTAATTTTTTTATATATAATTAATAGAATAGAAGTTTTTTATTAGTATATCTACAATTTTTTATTTCTACATATAACGACATAAAAAATTGTAGATACGTAATGAAAATTTTTTATTTTAGTTTCTGTCAGTATGTATTGAAATGAAAGTGAATCTTTTTTCATGTAAATAGAAATAATAAAATATCAATATTTTATCATTATAATTAATATTTAAGAAATATTTTTATATGCGCCTCTTATTGTAACATTTTGTTTTTAAAAAATCTTATCTATATAAAATTATATTAAGCGGAGTTTTTTTGCATATGAGTTTTAAAATGCAATGATTTATTAAAATTTTCTGTAAAATATAAAAATGTACAAAGAAATAATGTCCACTAATGTAAATTTTTAATATCGGTTGTATTACACAAATTATGCTAAAATTATCTCATAATTATACAATAAAATACAGTAGAAATCCATATTTTTTTGAATCTATGTGTATATTCAATTTTAATTTTGTAATTAAATCAAATATGAAATATTTGCTGTTTAACTATTTGTTTTCTTTGAATGCTATTTTATTTACAATGAAAGAAATTTATAATCATATAGAACTTTTATTAATACAAGTTTTTATAACATAAATAAATAACCAACATGTTAAATTATGCAGGCACTGTGGGAAATTAAACAAACTCGGTAAATATGTATATTTTGATTGAAAAAAACTCATTTAATTATATATTGATAATCGTATATTGATAAGATGGAGAGATCTATGTCGCAACAAGAGAATTGAACTGAAGAACTAATACTTCCATTAGCAGTACAAAAAATATAATAAAATGATACTAGCTAAGATTTTAAAATACAAACTTTACTTCATTCAGCATTTAAGGGAATAAGGTTTACAAATTTTATATTATTAAATATTTAAATGAATGATGATCAGTCTCGCTTATAACCTGGTTTTTTTATATAATAGATATATGTATAACTAATATTATTTATATGCATATTTGTACATTCCTCACTTATTTTTGCTAAGTTTATAAAATTATTGTTTTCATCATAATATTCCGTTTGATTAAAAATCATTAGATGAAATAAATCCAAATTATAATGTTTTAAATATGATTTGTCAAGAAATGTGTTTTTATTAATCAATGAATAATATTAAATGAACCATACTCTAATTATTACTTTTTTTTTAATACAATATTTTCGATTGAAACATCATATCTCTGTATCTATATTACATACGTAACGGTAAGATTTTCGTTTTAACGAAGTTAAAAAATATGATCGCACAATTCTTCGTATGCATATTAACGTTTATACGCACATTTATTTCATATTTTATGTAATCTAAGTGATTTTTTTTTAAATGTAGCATGAATATGATTATCATTCATTTAATTATAACATATTTTGATGGTACAGTATAAATGTATGCCGATTAAGTTTATTAAATAAGTAGATTGTATCGACTTTTTTCATTCGGTTATCATCCTATACGATAGTCACAGCCCAGAAATTGTATACCTGATATTACATTTCTAGCGCTACTCTTTATTTCTGCTACATCAGCTAGCAAAATTTTTAAAATGTATTCTAAAAATCAAACGATTAATAATCTCGTTGCGCTTCATGTTAACATGATCTTTACAAATTCACATCATTCGTACAAATTTCTAAATCTAAAAAAGAAAAAAAAATAATTCTATTAAATTTTTGAAAATAGTCATTTCTATATTTTTTTTTCACCGGCATTTTCGCGAATGATTTGTCTTCCTTGTCTCCGCTTATATATTGATTTAATTCTCAAATCGACTCTGATAAGGGGGAAAAAAACTCAGCTATATAAAAAAAAATCAACTATTGTATCCTTCTAAAATAGTACGATAACGTAAACAACTATCATGTAATATGTGGTACAACAAGATCTGGATTATACGAAACATACAAAAATATATATATGTATATATGTACATATGTGTGTTGAAATATATGAAGTCCACAAATATTCGTACCTATGATATCAAATAATAAAAAAATAGTTCGCAATTTTAATAATAGTATTGTAATTATACCGTTTTTTTTTTCTAAACTCTTCGATCGTCGTATAAACATGAGTACGTTTCATTTTATTACACCGCGGATACTCGTTTACGTGTTTTTAAAAGCAAAGCATTAGCGTCTCTGGAGCGCCGGGGGTATGTTCGAGGAACGTTTTCCATTATGAAAAATGAGCGTGTATATTTACAGAGATGACGTGCAGCTTACGCCATGCATTTCGTGCATAGGATTTGCAGCTGCAAACTAGCAACAGCTTGTACGCGACACTCTCGGATAACGCAGATAACGCTCGCAATCTGTATGTGACAACACCACCTCGTCGTTCTTAGAACATCTGACCTATCACAGCGACCGGCCGCACTCCCGCCCCGTTATTCACGTTATTCATATTCACGTGGATGTGAGTGACCGGATGCGGCATGTGATGATTGTGATCGTCGACTATCATCTCGCCGTACTGGGCGCGGCAGCGCTTCTGATGCGCGAAGAGGCTGCCGCTGTGGCTGTACGCGGCGCCGCACGTCTTGCACACGTACGGCTTCTCGCCGGAGTGCGTGTACGTGTGCTCCTTCAGCGTGCTGAGCCTCTTGAAGGCCTTGCCGCAGGTCTTGCACAGGTAATTCGCCTCGCCGGTGTGCCGGGTCAGGTGCCTGCGAAAGGCCGAGCTCACGGCGAACGCGGCGCTGCACACGTGACAGACGAACGGCTTGTCGCCCGTGTGAATGCGAATGTGGTTCGCCAGGCTCGTCGTGGTCGTGAAGCCGCTGTTGCACGTCTTGCACACGTGCGGCTTGATGCCGGTGTGAGTGCGCATGTGGTAGGTGAGAGACGAGTTGCTCGGGTAGACCTTGCTGCAGATGTGGCACAGGTACTCGCGCGGCACCTTCTCCTTCGGCTTGTGCGTCCTCTGATGGAGAACGAGGCGGGCCTGGCTGGCGCAGACCTTCCTGCAGATCTCGCAGGTGACGGGCTCGGCCTTCGGCTTGTGCATCGACACGTGCCGTCGCAGGCCCTTCTTGGTCGCCAGGACCTTGTCGCAGTGCTGGCACTTGTACTCGCCGGATCCCTCCTCGTCGCTCTCCTCCCTCTTGACGTTCTCGCCCTCGGGCGCGGGATCCGTCGCGGGGTTGTTGCTCGTCGGCACATCGTCGTCGTCCGAGTCGTACAGCTTGTTGTCGTCCACCAGATTGTCCAGCAGCCCGTGCCCGTGCTTCTCCGCGTGTTTCTTCAACGTGTCCGGCCTGAAGAACCACTTCTTGCACACGGTGCACGAGTACTTCTTGTCGCCGTGCACGAGCGCGTGTCTTCTCAGATTCTTCAACGACGAGCAATACTGGTTGCATATCTCGCATTTGTACAACTCGGGCGCGTTCTCGAATTCGTCCGCCTCGTTCGCCGGCCCGGTGGTCTCGTCGTCGGTGTCGTCCTCGCTCTTGAGCTCCTTCTTCGGCTCCTTACTGTCCTTCCGCTCGCTCGTGTTGATCTGCTTGATCATATCGTTCACCTTCTCCGTGTGCGACTTCAAGTGCCTCACGAGGCTCTGAGACTTGGAGAAGGACGCGTGGCAGAGCTGGCACGCGTGCGGCTTCGACGTGTGAATCTTCTGGTGGTTCTCCATGTTCTCCTGCTTGTAAAACATCTTCAGGCAGACGTCGCACTTGTACTTCTTCTCGTGGACCAACGAGTGCTTCTTCAGCCCCTTCTGCGTGGCGTACTGCTTGGAGCAGACCTTACACTTGAACTTTGACTCCACCGAATCCCGACTGTCGCTGCTCGGCTCGTAGTAATTGTCGGCGATCTCGTCGTCGCTGTACGTTTTAGCCGATTTCGTCTTTCTCGCGGACGTACGTTTCGGCGGGACGCTCTCCTCCTCCTCCTCTATATTGTCATTGGATAAACTTTCGTTGACGAACTGCTGCTCCTCCTCCTGATCGGCACTGCTCTTCTCCACGTACGGATCGGCCTCCTTGTTGTCGTCATCCTTGTTTTGTAAACTGATGATGTTAGACGCATCCTGCGCATCTTCCTGCGCCATCGTCATTTGATGTACCTCGCCCTCTGATATGCAAGAATTCTTCCCCTCCTCTTTACCTTCGAATCCGATGGAGCAGATGAACAGCTTTTCATCCGATATCTGAATCTGACTGGCGTTCAGACTGACTTCGCCTCTGGGAAATGAGTCGGTGGTTGGAATGAACTCCTGCGCGCTCGCAACCACCTGCATGTCTTCCTTGTCGAAGTAATCCTCCTGGAAGTGGTCTGACTTTTTCGACAGCACCAATCTCGTTTGTAGATCCGTCTGCGTACAAGAATCCTGAAAATCCTGAAAAATTACATCACATGTACATGCACTATCGTACATATTTCGTACGTATAAGCAAAAGTAATTTGATGTCTTTACCGTATCGGACTTAGCAGCACATTTGGCAGGCTTATTGTAGTACATGCGCAACTTTGTGTCCGAGTGTTGACACTGTTGCCTGAACTCGTGGGCGACGCTGGCCTTATAAATACAGATGTCGCATATCAGGGAAGGTAATCCATCCTGCTCGTCTATCTCGATGGAGCCGCAAATCTGTATCTTCTGAGAAAGACCCGTGAGCTCGTTCACGTCCTGAGCGGAGGAGAAAATCGACGACAAATTGGTACCCTCGGTGAGACAGATCCTGCATACCCTGTCCATATTAACTGGCAAACTGAAGTAACCCGAAGTCATTGTTTCGCCGAAGATGAAACATTCACCTGCGACAAGTTATCTGCAAGATACAAAAAAGAAAAGAATGCAATAGAAAAAAAAATAAACAAAGACCTTCTCTGAAGAATATAATTTTAATTGTATACATATGTGTGTAATAAAATCGCGTGTAATCGTATAAATTAGAAATATTAAGTTTGTGACAATGCCGTACATATATGTACATATAAGAAGCAAAACGGAAGAGCTTTTCCCGTTTAGCGAGAGTAACGCGAAACAAAGTGCAGACGGCATCCGTCGCAATATGTTGCATCAACATCGCGCGGCACGTCGGCGAGAGCGGCTTTCGCACGGCGTCGCGGGCAATGATCGACGAGGCAATTTAATTATGTCTCATGACCGGGAACCGGGAGTCATCCCGCCGGGATGACTCGGGATCTCCGCGGCGGGCGCAGCCGTGCGAAATCGAGACTCGCGACGTATAACCGCGACGTGCGGGGAGATGTACAGTCCATCCCCTAGCGTCGCGCGACGGCGAGCTCCGTGCGCGCACCGGGGAGAGAGAGATAAGGAATTAAATATACAAATATACCGGAGCGGTTCTCAACCTCTCGGAGGTCCGCGGGGCCGCGTCTCATGTGCGTCGTCGTGCCGCCCCCTGATCCCCTGATGCCGCCGCTGCCTGGCCACCCCAGTCCTGCCGCCGACCCAGTGGACGCCCAAGCCAAGTGGACGCGGAACGAGACGACACGCGCGGCACGGCCTCGGCGGCGCGCGGACACTCTCGCCTCTCGACTCTCGTCGGCCTTTCTTTTTCAGGGCGCTGCGCGCTCGCGACGGCCCCGCGATGCGCGCCGCTCCATAATCGATCCGTCGATTCGCGGCGACTCCGGCCAGCGGTGAGCAGTACTAGCACTCCGGATTCCGTCCTCTCCGACGGCGGCTCCGTCCGCGCTCCGCTCCGCCTTTGTCTCTCTCGTCGTCGGCTCGCTACCCGCGTCGCGCGCGCGGCGGTCTCGCGAAGGGGTCCGCGAAAGTTGAGAGCAGTCTGAGACGAACGCCCCGAAGATCCCTCCGGAGAGTGTGGGTGGGTCAATACAAAGAAGGGATCCCCGCGTGTACGTGTGTGAGAGCGCGCGAGGGGGGTCGGTTATATCGCGGAGGCTTCGATTAATTGGTCAGCGCGGCTCGCCATCTCTAAATCTCTTTCCTTATCTGTAGATGTATGTACACAGCCATATCAATGAAAACTGATAAGAACTAGCGACTATATATAGGCTGCTAACTTCTTAACAAAATACATGGCTGGATGACTCCGAAAGAAATACAGAGCTCATGCGCATGCGTCATATAAGAGGCACGACAAGTCTAGTCTGATTGGTTAAATTTTAAATAATTATGTTACGTACACACTCGTAATTTATTATATAAATAAATAATAGGTATATGTTACGAAAAAAATATTCGTAATATAGTAATATCTATTTTAGGAGAAATGAAAAAATTTATACAGTAGAAGATGCAGATTTAAAGATAAAAAATAAACTATATAAAATAATTTATAACTTTTACTGTTATTGCATTAACGTAAAAATAATACAATATCTCGAAGCAATTTGTGAGTTCGACTATCCTGATATATTTTTAATTTTATATATGTAATATTCTATATATAATAAAATAACATTTAATATATAAAGTACAACATAAAAATAAAAATCATTTAGTGAAAAAATAACAATTTTATTGCGATAAGAAATATTATTCTCATATTATACATATATACATATACATATTTCATATATATATATATATATATATCTTTTAAATTATAAAGATTTTTTCAAGCAATTCTTAAATTAATTGCCAATTAATCTATAATCTTTCTCCCTATAAATAACAAAAAATTGGTAAAGCTAGCCATGTTGACAAAAATATTATTATAGATATTATTCGACAAATTAATTGGAGTTTAATTGAAATTATAATTAATCCGAGATGAGATAACTAATCATCTTCAGGTTCAAAATATTCTTCAAAGATTTTTTTTGTTTTATTATTTTGCGTTTGATTTAGTCGATATTTTATATAATGTGTTACAAAATATATATTTAAAAACAACATATGTTTAAAATATATATATATATATATATTTAAAAAATGAAAAATAATAAATACATGTATAAAAAATCTAATGTATATGATATAAAATACATGTTTTTTTATTCAGTTTATATCTCGCGTCAACGTGTCGTAAGTGGATTCATGAGAATTGCGTTTTCCGGAGCGAATCGCAAAAGCCGAGCGCACGTTGATGGAACTATATACCCAATGGGCGAAGATACGTCAGATAGCCCGTGTTTGTCTGCCCTCTTGACATTTCTTAGAGGTATATGATTGCCGACCGCCGAGAGTGCCGAGTAGCCCGAGTCGCGCTCGCCCTCTCTCGCCCGTCCAGCAGTCTCTGTCAAAAGATGTGAATGCAGGACGGCGGATTTACGGATTTACGGTTAATTGTAATGGTATCAGGGCCACGTGTCGTCCGGGCGAAGTCGAGACCACGTACGGCCGATGCGCGAGGAGGCGGTCCCCTGAGCGGTGGTGTCGCGCGAGCGTAAAACGGCATTTGATATATATTATTATTTTTTTTAAATGCGACCATGGCACTCCGCAAGGTAAAGGGGAACTTCGAGCGGATGTTCGACAAGAATCTGACGGATCTGGTGCGCGGGATCAGGAACAATAAGGAGAACGAGGTGATTCCCGTGTGTGTGTGTGTGTGTTTGCTCCGCGATTACTCCTCGCTGCTTTGCCTTTTCGGCGGAGTCGGAACCTAACCTAATTTTTCCCTCCCCCGCACACACTCTCTCTCTATTAAACATATCGATGATATATTTTGCTCCTCTTTTCTCTGTGCCAGGCGAAGTACATCGCGCAGTGTATCGAGGAGATCAAGCAGGAATTGCGGCAGGACAATGTGGCGGTTAAAGCCAATGCCGTGGCCAAGTTGACATATGTAAGTCCTCTGGCATATGTAAATTTTGACAGATGCCAAGGTGTCAGGTGGCATCGTGATGCAATTTGTGCCGATCGATTTGCCACGCGTCCAGCTTAATGCAATTCAATTCAATTTGTATTAATCACTGATTCACCCCTATGTTCCTCAGCTCCAGATGTTGGGATATGACATCAGCTGGGCCGGCTTTAACATAATAGAAGTAATGTCGTCGACGAAGTTCACTCACAAGCGAATTGGCTATCTCGCTGCCAGTCAGAGCTTTCACGCGGATACAGAGGTAAAACAACATCTTGTATTTTATAAGTAGTAGTACCTTTATGTAAATTTTTCAAACATAAACTCGGTCAATATATATTCTTTTTATTATAATTTTATTTTTACTATTGTCTATATTAATACATGATTTCATTATAAATGAATATAGACTAAATATGAAATTAAATGTATAAAATGAGTGCAGATTATTTGATGAAAATTGTGTACATATTTATTTACGTTTATATGATACGTAATATTTAACAAATTACTAGGTTTGTAGGAAAACCTTGTAATTTATTCGATGCTTTCCTTTTGTTACAGCTATTGATGCTAACAACGAATATGATTCGTAAAGATTTAAATAGCCAAAATCAATATGATGCTGGTTTAGCACTGAGCGGTCTGTCTTGCTTTATAAGTCCAGATTTAGCACGTGACCTGGTTCATGACATAATGACATTGTTGACCTCTACAAAGCCATACTTGCGCAAGAAGGCGGTTTTGATGATGTATAAAGTATTCCTGAGATTCCCGGAGGCCCTGAGACCCGCTTTCCCTCGGCTGAAGGAAAAGCTTGAGGATCCAGACAGTGGTGTTCAAAGTGCGGCGGTAAACGTAGTTTGCGAATTGGCCAGAAAGAACCCGAAGAATTACCTGAGCTTGGCGCCTGTTTTCTTTAAGCTGATGACAACTTCCACGAATAATTGGATGCTTATCAAAATTATCAAATTGGTGAGTGCCTTTTTCTTGTCGTTGCTTTAGATTTTTAAGAGATAAACGGTGTAATAATTCTTTTGTGTATTTTACGGACATAAAATCATATACAGGGTATCCCCATTCGCAAATATTATAACAAGAAAGTCTTCGAAAAATTAAGTAAAAAAGTTATTTGTAAATTTTTATTTTAAACAGTAGTTTTTGAGATATGAGTATAAATTTAGCAAATTATAGACTAGTACACGCTTGAAGTGTGTGACACTATCGACATTCATGAACATGTTTCCGTTTAACCATAATCTATAATTGGCTAAATTTAAACTCTTATACCTCAAAAACTGCTCAAAATAAAAATTTACAAATAATTTTTTATTTAATTTTTTGAAGACTTTTTTGCTATGATATTTTGATTCGCGAATTTCGAGACCTGTACATCCATAATCATTAAAAAAAAATAATAATACTATTTTATACATAATAAAAAAATAATAATACTATTTTATACATTTTATACACACTTTTCTTATTATGTAAGCTATGTTGGTTTTGTTTCTCGCACTCAGTTCTCGACTATAACTCTGATCGAGCCAAAGCTGGGTCGGCAACTTACTCAACCATTAATTGATCTGATTTCAAGGTTTTAAATTGTTTTTTTTTTACAGTACAATTGTAGATTTATTTATTGAAACTATAACGTATTGTAGTGTATATCAATGTCAAAAAATATTTTGTAGAATCACTCGGATTTTGTATATAGTTTGATTTTACATATTTCATCTGTTCATGAAATAAGCATTAAGCTACTCTCTTCTGTATAAAAAGAAATTACCATGTACATCTTAGAAAGGCAATATAACATTATATTTCCAGTTTGGGGCATTGACACCTTTAGAACCTAGGCTTGGCAGAAAGTTAATAGAACCCCTTACCAATTTGATACACAGGTATCTAATGTATTTTAAAGTATCTATTAACTATCGCGCTTGTAATGTTTCTATCATTGCTTTTACGTCGTCTAGCTACCTAAACTTTATCTTATTTTTTATTTATCTCTTGTAACGTATTTAGTATTTTACACGTATAATGTATTTTACAATAATTTTGTTTCTTTTTTTTTTAATTACGAATAAATTCTCCGTATAATTTACAACATAATACTGATCGTTTTTAGTACATCCGCAATGTCCTTACTGTACGAATGTATCAATACGGTAATCGCTGTATTGATTTCTATATCGTCCGGCATGCCGAGTCATTCCGATTCGATACAGTTGTGTGTTCAAAAATTGAGAATATTAATAGAGGACTCTGATCAAAACTTGAAGTATCTGGGATTGTTGGCGATGTCGAAGATACTGAGGAATCATCCGAAGAGCGTGCAATCTCACAAAGATCTAATTATGCAGTGTCTTGACGACAAAGACGAAACTATAAGACTGCGTGCCTTGGATTTGTTATACGGAATGGTTTCCAAGAAAAACCTAATGGAGATAGTTAAGAAGTTAATGGTACATATGGACAAAGCCGAAGGCACTATGTATCGCGATGAATTGCTCTCAAAGATTATTCAGATTTGCTCACAGAACAACTATCACTTCATTACCTACTTTGAGTGGTAAATATAACATCTTTTTTTTTTCACATAAATCCCATTGTCTAGGGCAGATTATAGAAAGACTTTGTGTACGCTCACGCAGGTACATATCTGTATTGGTGGAACTCACGCGAATGGAAGGCACCAAGCACGGACCATTAGTAGCGACTCAATTACTTGATGTAGCAATTCGTGTACAAGCTATCCGAAAATATGCAGTTCAACAATGTGCCTTACTGCTTGAGAATTCATATCTTTTAACCGGCCAGCCAAGGGCAACGATGTCCGAGGTTTTATATGCAGCAGCATGGATTTGCGGAGAATTCTCTAGGTACCAAGAATGTTACACGTAGCATTGATCTAATTGATCTAATTATGTAATAACACATTGATTCGTTAAATCAATAGCGAATTGGAAGATCCTTTGGCAACATTGCAGTCTATGTTGCGATCGCAAGCTTCTAGTTTGCCAGGACATATACAGGCTGTTTACGTTCATAATATATTAAAACTGGCTGCAACGACATACGCCAAAGCGGAGAAGGAGGAAGATACTGAAACCATGGAAAAGGTATAAAAACATATAATTGATGTGATGATAAACTTTTATCTTGTCTTTATCGTGCACACACCATGCAGTTATTAGTATTTTGAAACAATTATATATATTTGCATTAATTATAAAGCCTGTAGTTCTAATAATGGTTTTCACTTTACAGATTTACGGATTGAAGGACAAAATAGCAGCTTTTGTTTGTAGTGGCGACCTGGAAGTTCAGGAAAGATCAAGTTCTGCATTAGTACTGCTTGAATGTTTGAAAGAAAATTCAGGTCTTGCGCTGGAATTAATCAAGACTTTCGAAGGTGAACTTAATCCAGTTGCACCAAAAGCTCAACGAAAAGTACGTATTAATTAGTATTATACACATGTATTATCTACTTAAAAATATTTTTTTATTTTGTTTGGGAGAAAATATGATGTACACATGATGCAGATTATTTACAAGTTTCGTAATATAAAATTTTATATCTTTCAGGTTCCGATACCGGAAAATTTAGATTTGGATTCCTGGATCAACGATCCGCCTTCGGAGAGCTCGGATTCCGAGGATTTAGACATGAATGATATTTTTATTAAGACGGAGAAATCGAATAATTCGTTTTCCAAACGGGATTTAAGTGAGCCGTCCCTGGAAGAACTCGAGAGGAGGCGTGAAGCGAGAAAATTGGAGCAAGAAAATAATCCTCATTATTTGAAGGGCTCATTTAAGACTCCTACGTCATATCACAATTCGTCGAATGTATATGAAGACTTTGACAACATTCCTGTCGCGGAATTAGACATCCCAATCTCTTTAAAGATTTCCAACTCGCACAGATGTCGCGACGTAGATAGCAGCAACAAAAAATATAAAAAGCATGAGAAGAAGAAGAAATCGAAGAAAAATAAAAGTAACTGTTGTGTATACTAATAATATGTTGCACCAAACGTGCTGTTAGACCTTTGGGATTCTTAACGTTGAATATTTTCAGATAAAAAGTCTGCGTCGGAGGAGGAGGATGAAAAGGATGACAGTTTACCATTGCAAATAGTAAATACTGGAATTGGGGAACTACCTCCGGGCGCAGAGATAAGTGACAGTGACGATTACGATTTAGCAGACACGAATGATCCACATAGAGCTTTGAATATCGATTTGGATATGCCTTTACGGGAAGATGAAAAATTGCCTGTCTTAGAACACAGAGTTATTGAAAATAAAATTAAAAAAGTGGAAAAAGTTGAAGAAAAGGAAAATAAGAAGGAAAAGGTAAATTTTGTCTTTATATTAACAAGCATTATAATATAATTTGAATTCATTTGATTTATTTATATATTAAAAAAAAATACTTTCTAATAATTTATGCGTTCTAAATTAATAGGGGCATAGAAAGTCTAAAAGAAAAGTCAAGAATGTCGTGGAGAACAAGGTGAATGACGAGAAGGAGTCTGACTTGTGGTTGGAAACTAATTCGTCTCCCGAGAAAGTGCAGTCTCCTGCCATAGGAGAATACATAGAAGTGTCCAGCGAGTCACAAAAAGATACCAAACGCAAGAAGTCAAAGGGTCAAGGCAAACACAAGAAGTCCAACGTGGAAGACGGGAAGCATAGGAAATCGAAGAAGTCGAAGAGTAAGAAGGAGAATAAGTCGTTGGATTACGAGGAGACAGCTGGAATATCCACTCCGTCAAAAGAGATATTGCCGGAGCTGAAGAACGATATTATGAATGACGAATATAACGCGATTACTGCACAGCAAGATATCTCCCAGGAAGAATTAGCCAAAAACAAAGTCATTTCCATGAGGTACGAGCTGAGACAAATCCCTCACGACTCAAGTAAAATTATCGTATCGATTTCCATTACAAATACAGGTCAGCCACTTGTAAAAGAGTTAGTCTTTGATGTTCCAGACACAGCGTCACTCAAATTAGTTAGGAACGTAAGTTAATGCACATTTGAATATATATTTTTAGGAGTTTTACGCTTTAATTTGCGAGAATAATTTTGTAATCCGTCATCTCGCACTCTTAACAGCCTGGAGACGAATTTGGAATAAAACTGCCGTTCCAACTGCCTCTGCAATCTAGCAAAGAAACCGAGTTCACCGTTCTAGTCTCGGACGTGACGTTCGCTCAGAGACTTAGAGGTACACTGACGTACATGTTTGAAAGTAAAGAAGGCACGCAACAAGAAAAGCTCGACTTCACCGTACCCCTGTCGTGTAGCAAGTTCATGGTCGGGCATCTCTCTCACAAGGACATACTCACGGAGCTCCTTAAAAGTGGTCAATTAGTATCTAAGATTAGACGAGAGATAATGCCTTCTCAGGACTTCGACACGGTTCTGAATGTTATCTGTCGCAAGTGCAATCTCACACTCGTGGAACAAATTGACGACACTGCATCTTTATACGGACATTCTTTGAAGGGACATCATGTGTGCCTTTTGTTAAAATATAACGTAAGTTAAATTATCTAACAATTAAGAAAGTGTTAGACTTTTGAAATAATACATTTGAGTATAGGTAGAATAGGCAATTAAGAGTCCCACGCAGATCTTAGGGCGTAAAATTCTTTCAATTTATCCCAACTTCAAATTACATAGAAATCCTTCGCGAACGTGTCGGCTTTATTCAAGCCATCTTCAGCACAAAATCTGTATAAAATTAAAAATTTTTAACATCTGACAGTTGACGAAAGAGCATAAGTTATAATTTTTGGCTTCATATTGATTGTATTAAAATTTTTTTATCCATTAACATTTTGATACACATGGATCTCTATTGTTTTCACTTGGGAAATTAGTCTTATCCTGTGGAGCATTAATTCTTGTATACATATTTTGCGCTGAAGATGGCTTGAATAAAGTCGAAACATTTGCGAAGGATTTCTATGCAATTTGAAGTTGGAATAAATTGAAAGAATTTTACGCTCTAAAGATCTGCGTGGGACTCTTAATTGCCGATTTGATTGTTAAATTATTTGCCTAACGTAAATTAACTATAACGTAAGTTTAATTGTCGCTTTGCTGTACAGTAAATAATTGATTATCCGAGTAAAGAGTATTAATTAATATAAAGCAGAAAAATGTATATCTCAATGTCTTAAACAAGTATTATATTTGCATTGATTTAATTGAAACTTGCATAAAGATTTTAATTTTCTAAGTTTGGTTTAAATACATATTAGGTTCTCATGTCTTTCTACGTTACAGAGAGCGACGGAAAATCTATTGATCGAAGGTAAAGGTGACAATAACTCATTACTGTCGGGAATTGGCGAGGAGATCTTGAGGATCCTGACATAATATTGACTAACAAGTGTCTATATTTTGCAATTGATTCCTATCGTGCATCGCAGTTATGTTGAACATACACTGGGACATACGCAGAGGAACACTTCGATTGTGTCCACTATACATAAAATACAAATATATAGCGGCTATAGCGTGTCTGCAAACCCATTAAATATTTTCGGAAGGGATCTTACCTAAACTTCACGTGTAATTTAGATTATAAGTTTGTTAAATATTTAAGAGATACACACACAAATACATACACACGCATAAATACACACAAACACACACACACACACACACACGCACACACATATGTACATTTCTGTATGCGTGAGGCAAAGTTTCGTAAAGAAACTGCGAGAAGAAGGAGAAGGTGAAATAATTGCCAAGAATTGAAGACACTGAAATAAAAGTAGATTAATGTTTCTAAATAGGATTTAAGTCTGGCATGGCACTGACGTGCAATAAATACAAGGAATCATGAATATTTAGTTATCCTTTAAGATAATCATCCACTTTCAGCTATCTTGTTGAATTACGTCCGATATCTTCCAAAAACTTCTGTAAATTATTACACTTTCTTATCTTTACAATGTTGCATTTACTACACAGCATGTAATAATTGAAATAGCTTACGAATAACGACTAAGGAGCAGTTCTTTGTACAGTACGGAAATAAATGTTGCAACAGAAACAGATTGACCATACTTTTCATATTCAATGCCTTCAATTTTTGCGTCCAGTTGGAATAATATATATTCCACCGCTATTGTTGAGATCTTTATTATTTTGTAAAATATACGAAATATTATATTCATTGCGATGTTGCGTCCGATTTTTGTAAACATGGATTAACGAGAGCAAGTGATAAGCGTATATTGTGCATGCGACGCTTCTATAATGTCATTATGATAACAAGAAATTATGTAAATTTAAAATTATTACATGATCCATGTATGCATAATCGTGCGGGGAAAAAAAATGCTCCTATGTTATTTTGCAATGGGCTTTGATTGCATCAAGTTTTATATATCCATTTTCCTTTCTTTTAATGCCCTCTGTCTTCTCTTGTTTTGAGATACATAAAGATTTTTATATTTGAACATAAATTCTAGATTTTTTTATGTTAACGCGCTAACATATCTAGCTATTAAACGTGTGCCAAAAATCATTGGAGCTTTCAATATCCAGACAATCCCTTTTATTCCTAGAGCGACGTTGACTCTAGTCGCAAGACGCGTTGACCTTTGAATATTATACGATTACAGTTGTAATAATGATTTCCCCTCGTAGATACGAGAAGCATGCGATGTGCTCCTCGTATGCATCATGATAGACGCAAATGAATGTCCTTAATTTTTAACTTCGTATCTTACACTTACCATTACCATTGTAGAAAGATAGTCGATGTCTCTGCGTTTTAAGTACACAATTCACGTGAGAGACGTGCGTGCGAGCGTGCATGTTGACCATGACATATTCTATTATAAATTACACGCTGCGAAATTAAGGACGGCATTATTATATTAACGCGCATTTTTTTCTTTGAACTTTACTTCTCGCGCTCGCAATTGTGAACGACCACATAATAAAATTATAATAAAACTGTAACCGGTTGCAAGCCTCGCTTGTAACAATTTATTACTCAGAAATTAAGAGGATATATTGTTCGTCTGAATTCAACGAAGTCTCATTGCGAATGAAAATATTACCTAGTTACAGAAGGGGAAGATTTGCACGGTTAAATTGGAGGCCAAATTTACGAATTTATTTCAAAAAGAAAGGAATAAAAAATACAGTTTTCCGTTAGATATTGTTTATTGCTATATTTAAGACGTGGAAAATTAATTTGTAATAAAAAAATGATTAAAAGTATAAAAGTTTTCTGTTATTCTAAAAATAAGCTTGAAAATTTCGAATTTTACCACGATTCTAAAGAAGCAAACTGCTATTCTTTGATCTAGTTTTTCCTCAAAACAGGATTTTTAATGTTTATTTTAGGTTCAATCTGAAGAAAATATCCTGAGAAAAACTAAACCAGAGAATAGCAAATTGCTTCTTTTATAGAAGTCACAGAATCAGCAAAACTCGAAATTTTCGAGCTTGTTTTTATAATGACTGAAGACTTATATTTTTCGGTCTGTCTTTAATGACGGAACTCCTATAATTTTAATAAATCTCGTATTACAACTTAATTTTCTACATTTCAAATATAGTAAATAAATAATACCTACACGAAGAGCTACATCCATTTATTCCTCTTCCTGAAAAAAATTCGCAAATTTCACCTTCAATTTTATATACTTTCTGTCCCTCCCGACGATGTAATTTGCGTGCTCGCGAACTGGTTTAGGAAGTCTGTACCGCCAATACAAAGTACCCTAATAGAAATTCTTTCAAAGCGAGTATTGTATTCATTCCGCGATGTACATCCAGGTCGAGTTGAAGACAAGCGCATTTCGCAATGCATCGGCGTTCCGTTGAGTGACGCGCGCGATTCTTGATTTACGCGACCATCTCGTCTGCGCCTTCGCGCGCGGACAATGCTCGGTCTGGAAGGTGAACCGCGAGGACTAAGGACGGCCGTGATTCAACCAGATTCATCGACCTCACGCTAACTCCCACGCGAGATTCATGGTCGCGCAGCGTCATGCTCTCTCAAACGGAGCCGTTGTTTTTACCAGCCGAGAGAGCTCAATACCGCGCTGTTTAAGCCACCGCTCAATTTAGGTCGAAAAACGTAATTGTTTGATTTCAATGTCTGTGCAAACATTTCTCGGAACGCACTCCGCAATTGATTCATCCAGAAGCGGAGGGACGCGAAGGGGCGATGGGATAACGCGCGTAACTCATGCGCGACGTGTCCGCGCTTCACACGGGAGAACGCAGCTTCCCGAATCAGTGTACTTTTATATTGTACATGCACACGTTTCATTTGTTTGCTCGATATTAGGAATCGTTCTCGTCACGCGTATCTGCCATTGTGTAATACAACGCGAAATAAGACGTCGAGATACTGAAATATCAGCTTTCACTCGAGATTATCATTTCTACGAATAAATTCTTCTCTCCGGGCTTATCGAATAAAATGTGAGTAATATTTGCAGAAGGCATACCGCTCTCGTTCTTTTTTTTTTTCCAAGTATGTGCCTGGGCGAACAGAGAAAAAACACAGAAGGAAAAATAAGTTAAATGGCCATTATTGCATTCCAGTCACGTTTCAGTTCGGACGAGCATGCATGTTTTTCAAGATTCGATATCTTGATTCGGAATGTCAGGGTGACACGTTATGATTTATCCGTGATTCAATTCAAAATCCTTTATTCATTTCTACCATTTCTACAATTTTTATTTAAAAATAAAGAGAAGAGGAAGAGAGAACTGTGATACGAGGAGACTAAGGGATTACACAGGCGTATCTCATAACTCGCGAAATAAATGAAATTTAGGTAAAGAATTAGCTCACTGGATGACGTAGTATGTAAAAGATTGTAAACAATATTCGACATATGCCTTTTATCATCGTTAAACCGTGTCAGCACTTGGAGCGATAAAAATTGCGATTGTATCAATTCTTAAAAGCATCAATATCATTTTGTGCGATTTATTATTATTGTCGAAAGAGAACGACTCTTATTCATGAGTGAGTAATCACTGAAATATGTTTATCTTGAGATTGATTTAATTTAATTTATAGCACCAAGCTTAATTAATTGTCAATTTTTGCGTGCGTTTAGTTTTTTGTAGAATATATTTTACACCCCTTTCATAATTTCGCTTTTAAATTAAAAATGCACAACGGAGAGCGTATTATATCTTTTTGAGGAATTCAAAGTAATCACGCGGATGCATGTAGATATTCATCTTCTGTGCCATAAAAGCGCAGCTACGTTAACGAGTAGATTGTTACATAATTTGAATAATATTTATGTGCCGGACACATGAAATAGAGGAAACATTAAACCGATTATTTATTTATTTGCAATAGACTAGAATATGTCGGACTCTTGCTTCGAAAGTGATGTAACTAAAAAAAAAACGTGATTTTCGAGTTATTACCGTGAATAAATTAAACATTACTCTATCGTTAAAAGTCTGGGAAACTTGATTTTTTAAAAATTGTATCACTTTTGAAGCAAGGATATGACATGTGCAAAACTTGTGAAATAAGTTGTTTTTAGTGAAAACGTAATCTTATTTCTTTAATAAAAATTTAATCTTGATTTAATCTTCCGGCGGAATAAAGATTAGCCAATCGCACGCGATGTTTATCAAATGTCTCGCGATAAAAGTCTCAGATCTGACGTTTAATACAGAAAAGGGATTATCAATATCTCGAAACAATCTGAAATAATTTTTATCATTGCGATGAAAATATTTGTCAAGTCCGCGAGATTTTAAGTAAACTTCATTAAAGATAATATCCATCAAAGCAGGCGGAAGGAAAATTAATAATCACTAATCAATAGTGTAATTTATACTATTTTAAATTTCACGTTACACATTTAATGTACCGTTAAAGTGTCTCTACATTTTTACAATTTTTTTACTGCTTCAAGGAAATCCTTGAAATTTTTTTTTAGTATAAACAAAAAACAAGCGAGATTAATACGAGCAAGTGCGCATATCCTTTATACGTAACTTGATAAATCCTAATCTGATGATTGAAATTATTTTTCTCGGTTCTTTTAAAGGAAGACTAATGTAAAATAATATCAATTAAATATTATGGATTTCATGAATATATTGATTAGCGGTTATTAATTTTTTTTCCCCCGCTTACTCCATAATTTATAATTTAATGTGAAATTCATTTCAGGGTCCGACATATCTTGGAGACTTAACAAGTACGGAGAAGTTAATGCACTATTAATCAGATTTATGAAGCAAGCGCGAAAGTGTGATCGCGCGTACTTGTCCTTATCCCACTTGTGCGTGCATTGAAAACGCAACTTGTCGCGTCAAGTGTTTACCCTCGCACGCACACGTGCAGAGAACGTAAGTGGGTATAGCCACTCGCGGTAGCACCGCCGCCGCTCGACTCGGTGACTTGAACGCTCGCCCTCGGATGCACACCCGCGCTGCAGAGAATCCGGTAGCACGTTGATCGGCGAGCGCGATAGCGCGGATGTCCTACCGTCGCACCACCTCAAGGTGCGACCACGTGCTCGCACGGGCCGGCGCCGTCGCGTCAATCGTGGGCCGGTTGAATGAGCGGCGAAGCGAACACCGCGCGCCGCGACGACGACGACGGCGGAAGAAGAAGAGCAAAGGGGGAGGGGGAGAGTTTCCTTTCCGCTCCTCGACGGCGCGCCGCGTCGCGCCGAAATGATACGGATACGAAACGGTACCGTACCGCGAACCCGAAGCCGAACACACGCGCCGCGCCGCGCCGAGTCGCGCGGCGCGAGACGCTATATAAATAATACTTCGCGCTAAGTCAGACCAGTCGACTTGCAGCGGCCGTACCTGCCGTGGCGCACAATGCAACGGACCTTCAGAGATTAAATCGTCTCGAAACCCTCTTTCTCGTCTCGCGATTTTCCTTCACGCCTTCCGCTCTTGTCTGACCCTGTCCGACCAACCCCCCCATCGCATTAACAACCTTGCTTACTTACTCACTTTCTCTCTATCGCGCGCCCGTCGCATGACCGCGGAGGACCTGTCGGTGACTTAAACACTCAACACACAGCTAACGGTACATCCCCCAGGATGTCGCACGACAATTTGGGATTTACATCGAGCACGGTGAGTGGATGTACGCGAGTGTATAGCCGGGACGCGCGTCGGTTCTCAACGAACTTTAAATATAAAAATCACAGGCGTGCGCGCTTGTGTTTACAACCGATCGAGAAGCAATTCGAGCTGCCCGTCAATGTTTCCGTAACGATTTTTGACATAAAACTTAATCAATTCGGGCGAAGAATATTTTACGAGCCCTCGCGGGAGAGAGGGGAGAGAGAGCCGGGTGAGCGAGAGGGTGTCGCTCGATGATTCGCGATACAATCTTCGATTTCTTCACCGGGTTTTTGCTGTCACGCCATCAGTCGTTATCCTCGAAATCACTTTGCGCAGAGCACCTTTCCAGTATAAAAATTGTAAACACGTTTCTCTCTCTTTCTCTCTCTTTCTCTCTTTTCTCAGCGGTAAAGGCAGCGGAGTAAAGCCCTGACATAATCGGAGCTACTCCAGAAGTATGAATTTTGGAGTATTTTTCACAGTAGCCAATTTTTTCCCCCTCGAGAAAAGTACGATTTATATCTTAGAGAAATATCGATTTAGAAAAACTTTCGATACCGATGGAAAACAAGTTTTCCGAAATAAGATTCTCTTGCTGCTCCGTTTACCTTTGAAGATTGCCAGATGCAAATTTTATTATAATGGACTTGGATACGACTTAGTTTGTGCGATGTTTCTTTAAAATAATTTTAATGAATACATATTTTTACATAAGACATAAGAAGAAGAACTGAAATATGTCAAAACAATATACAGTGTTATTGCTATGTTTGCGAAAAAACATAGCGATAACACTCGCGTGACGTTACATTTATGTGAAAAAAGAACGAATATAAAACGAATCATGTTTCTTGTCCTTCGTTTTTTTCTTTTCATCGAAAATCGACGCGGCTTTTGACATTTTACAGTTTGTGGCAACGACGATGCACGGCGTATAGTTTTTAAACGTATACGTATAGGTTTATCTAGGCGTGCATAATGCAAGAGAAGATAATGCTAATAATCCCAATAATGCTAACAATTCTAAATATAGATGTCATTTAACGATGTCTTTTTTTCTTTTGCTAACGGAACTATTTTCACGAATTACACTTTTAGATTGCTGGATAATTTATACACCGCGATTCAAAGGCTGGGGCAACAATTAAAATCCGCTCGATACGCGTGCTGCGCGCGGTATCTCTTTTTATAGCGGCTAACCGATTGCAGGACAGGGATAATAATAAACCCGCGAGAGTAACTATTGCACACTCGATATATTTTCGACGACTTCGCGATTGCGCGAACGGTTCGATCATGAGCCGATCACGAGAGTGGAAAGTTTCTATATCCATATTGCACGAGCGAAACTTTCGCGCAAGGACAATTGGATCGTTCATCTCGCTGACGTGCGAAACGGCGACGTTGTCGCCGGCTGTTGTGGGTTTTTTTTACCCTCCCCCCCACCCCTCGCTCGTTCGACGACAATTAGAATTGGCGATTAGAATTGTTGCATAACCGAGGAAATACCGAATAAGTAAACGAACTGCACCGACTCCGTCGTGTCGACTTGACACATATCTCGCTTTCGCGTAGTGTCCTTCTCGCACGGTTCTTTTCAGACCCGCCTTTTTTTTTCTCTCCCTCGGCTTTTTTTCCCTCGCGCTGCCGAAGGCGACCGGGTACAATACCTGTTCGATCAAGCGCGCACGATTATTCGAAAGTATCCGAATTGTTGTACCAAGTGTTTTAAAGGTTTTGCGCCTTTCCCTCTCGTAACGTCGGCTTGTGTAAACTTTTCAACGACCTTGCCAAGTTGATTTCGTTTTGGCGCATATTTTAAGGGAAGAGCTAATTATGGAAATACGCTTTAATATTGAACGTTAAGAGAATTTGTTTTCGGCGAATTAAATTAACTTCGAAGGAAATTTACTTTAGAAATGTAGCTGGCAGCTTTGCACATTGAAGCGCAAAATGAAGTAATAAATTTTATTTTTATATAAAATAAGACGCAATTATTGTTGCATCTATTGAAAGTTGGAATAATGTTGGTATAACGTTTGAATATATTGAAATAAAATTAATGTAAATGACATGTATAAAAATAACGTTTAAATATATGTTCATTAAGGAATTAAGAAGAATGTAAATGTAATAATATTTAACGCTACACATTTAAATCGTATACACGAATCTACAATAGCATTACGTCATAACTTTTCAAACGCGGGCCGGAAACGCTGCACCCACCGTATCTTCCGCATCGATTATCGGACGTAATAATTTCCTCTGCTACTTTTCTTCAATCGCCTCTCTATCTCCGAACAAAGACGTCTGGAGCTTCCTGTTTCTATCTCGCTTTCGTCAAATTTCAAATATTCATATATATTTAACTTCAGCATCTCTCTCAGGCAGTCATCCTCATCGTCGAATCCTTTTTACAACGTGAATATCCTGGTAGAAATTTTTAATTTCTCTATTTACCTTCGCAGCTGCACAAACTAATAAGCGTCTCCCTCAATAATAATATTATCTGACATTAATGATTACTCAGTTTATCATCATGATCTCTCCGTATCGGCTTTAGTGAACTGATTCTGGAGTCAGTTGCATCCTGCACGATAACAGTCGCGCGCGGATTACTTCTGCCGCAGCGCTACCGAAAATGCCCGCGAAAATTGATAAGGAGCTCGCTCGCGAGTACACATATGTTTGCCGCAAACAAGCCGCGTTTTACGGAAGAATCTCCCTCTCCTCGATGAAGCGCTTACGCGATACGTGCTGCATCCTCTCTCCGGCCGTATCGTGAAGACGCGCGTGGTACCGCGACCTCAAGAGTCGCAAATCCACAAAAAAGAAGAAGAAGAAAAAGATCGTAAAAGCGTCACGTTGGATATAACGTCGAAGAAATAAGAGGATCGGCGCGTGGTCGCGGTCGAGTCACCCTCGAGACGCAGCTTTGAAATTCTGCCCATCAATTTTTAATCTCGATCGCGCGCGGTGCACGCGACTTGTGTAACAGACATTAACACACGGCTTAACCAAGGCGCGTAACGCGAAATCCCTCTACGCGATTGCTATGCGGATCGCGGACGTCGAAGATCGGCCGCCTGCCACATCGGTACGCGGCTTTGACTTCTCTTGCCTTCCGGCGGAAATGCGTGCGCGAACGTAACGTACGTCAAGCGCGAAATCGCGTTATAAGGTACGTGAAAAATTGCGACGACGCACGGTGGTTGACGCGCGTTTTTCGCCGCGAAACTTCCCGGAGAGCGCGGCGCGCTCTTTGTTAATTTATTTCTTCCTTTCTTTTTTTTTCTCTTAACGCGTTTCCATGTCCGTGAAACGATTGTATAACCACCGGGAACGTCTGCCGCGTTCCACCGTCTGGTCTGTTTCCACAGTGCTTCCGTCTGTTTCCCTATTTGGCCTATTGTCTTCCCCGCTGACGCGCGCATCCGCGGAAAATATGAATATTGCGCGTGCTTTGAATTGCTAATCCTCCTCGGAGGCCTTCGATTACAATTGCTCTCGGACTTGCACATCGCGTAACGATATATTGGAATGATCTCAACATCCCGAGGCGCATGCAGCAATGTCGTAATTGCGATCACTTCGAGGAAACGGAGCGTTTTCAAAGCAGAATCGGTTACAGCCGCGGCCGATACTCGCTGGAATAGTGCCCGGAATTTAGAATTTTATACGTGATGTAGACGATACGAGGATCGAATCATGTTTTTCATGTTAAAAAAATGTAGTCGCGTAGCTTTAGATATCGAAAGTGCGATCATCTCGATAACGGGGCAATTTTCAGGTGCGTTCGGCCGAATACACGTAAACTAAATGAGGAAACTCCGCGCGAAGTTAACATTGCGTGAAACAACAATTCCAACGGCGTCCCAGATTGAAATGTGATTTATCGAAAAAATTACTATTATAAATAATAATAATTAAGTAAAATTAATTTTTACGATTTGCTAGAAGTAAAAAATTGACATTCACCGTTTATTTAATAAATTTTTCTGTTAATTTTCCACTTTTGAATTGCAATTATAAAGAACTTTGATAGAGTAAAAAAAATCCGATTACCACGAACTGCTAATATCTACAATTTTTATTATGTAGAAATTTCAATGTAATTTTAAGCGCTACCAAGTAGCAAAACAATGTGTAAAGAAAAGTTGATTTTTCTTTACACATTATGTAATAAAGTGTAATATGATTGCGTAAATATAATTCGTCAAAACTTAAGATATCTCGGAAACTTAATGGACTGAGGTAACGAGATAAATTATGACGTACTTGAAGTATTTCCGTGATAGCTGAGATACTATGAACGAAAACTACGAAAACACATACCTTCTTGTAACCTTTGTACCGTTGTACGTACGTGAGATGATTTAAGATTGTGTCAAGTCGTACTTTGATAAGTACGAAAACGAGTTTTGTTGACTCGGCAACGGATATTAAAAGATTAAGAGCTTGAATTTATAAAATATTTTTCTTCGTTTAACTGACAAACACGCTGCAGCATAGAGGGATTTTATTAAATAAATATTTAAAAAAATTAATATTATTTATTATATTATATATACAAAAATAAATTTATATATATATAAAAAATAAATTGTAAGAAATTGATTTAGAAATTAGAAGAATACAGAAAAATCAATTTTTAAATATTAAAATGTGATATTAAACATTGTAGAGTTGCGAATAAAAAAGTGCGGAAAATGTTAGAGGAATCTTTCGAATGCACTTTATGTTATCGCGATATCGCACAATCTGTTATATCAGAGTACTTACAATGTAAGTCTCATTATTGATTAATAGCGATTATCGTCGATCAACATTATTTACTCCGTCATATTCATTATGTCATTTTGACTGCCTTCACTTTGTCAGTCGTTATTTTATCGGCCTTTAATCACATAATATTTGAACTCAGTTTTTCGTATCTAACAGCAAACACATCAAGTTTGACTATTATTTAATACTTACGCATGTTCGAACGCATTACGGTTAAGATAACTTTATAACGTAATAAAAAAACGTTAATTTTTTTTATTAGTACTTCTGGCATTCCTGTTCCAAAGGCAATCTTGTTTGGCGTTTCGCAATCTACTTTTCTGCGGCACGAACAATTAGCACGCCTAGTAGAGCGTGCGCTAATCACGGAATTTTTCTGAACTCCGTAATATTCCGCCGGTTTTCTTCCACGCTTAATCTCGTCACCTATCCGATATCGAGACCATAATCGTATTTTTTTTTCTGATGACAGCGATAGATAATTTCCATGGCTATTTCCGTACGTGGAAAATTAACAATTGCATTGAAACAATTATCATTGGCCTGCCGCATCTAGCTGATAATTGCCGACGCGAAGAGTTAATAAAATTATGTTATGTCTGATTCTTTAAATATTCGCACTATGTGCACCGTCGATCCTTTGCAGATTCTGTTGGATCGGTTTTTTTGTTAAATGTTGTTTTGCTAAAAAAAGGCGTATATATAATATTATAATTTTTACGTACGAGCAGAGATTGAAAATTCGAGTGTACGCTTTAGTTGGAAATTTTACGCTCAAATTAACTTTACGCCCAACCGAAATTAATTAACAGCAATTTACAAGTTTTATACTTCTCAATTAACGTGTGAGTTAATTGCAGCAACAATTTACAAGCTTACTTAAAATTAACTCATACATTAACTTAAAGTTCTGTTATATAATAGTAATAGCTTTCATTTGTCTTCGAAGAAAGCTTCTATGTAGTGTATAACGTAACGTACGATATGAATCGTACAGTGACAAATTCGATAATATGGCGTGAATTATCGTTCAAAACGAAAAGAATTCCGCTTTGATATCGCATAGATGAGTTATTTGCCGGTGATAATAAACGCCGGATGCTCTGACGACGGTAACAAAAAAAGTAAACGTCAAATACGCGCGAGTCATTGGAATTGTATCAGAGATTCCAAATATAATACGAGAGATACGAGGTCTTACAGTATCCGCGCAAATAAATGGATCTAACAGGAGTGTTGATAAAGAAATTTACATTTTGCGGAAAAAAGATAGGCAGAAGATACACGAGCATCCACCTGCCCAATAATGTTTGCGGGTTATGCTAATTTCCATATTGATGCTCGCACAATTAAAACGCGATCCGTCATTAAACACGATCGTTAATCGGACGCGAAGAACGCGTGCGCGTTCAACGCGCGACAACTGTGCGAATGTTTATTGGCGTGTAGATCGATTAAAAAAGGAGTACATATATCTGTAATCTTGTTTAAATGATTTATCGCCGTCGCTAATTGGCATGTGTGTAGTAAACATTTAATCTCCCTTACGGGGAAACAGCGACACAAGGACTCCGGTACATCGGCACATTGCGTGTTTACCGAACGAGTTAACACTCTTTCTCAGCAGTCATTGGTAACGTAAATAACGAACGCGTTAACAAGATAATCATATTTTCTCCTCGGCGGCTGAATACATCATTAACACGACGCTAATTGCTATTAATTTTTCGGTAAATTACGTAAATTCTATCGAGTTCCAATAATTCTGTTACTAGTCGTTTATTAAATTATCACAAGGTAATGCAAATTTCGAAATGGTGTTTTGTGCATTCTAAAACCTATGCGAAAGAATGCACGGTTGTCGTATTTATATAAACATGACATTAATTACCATAAAAATTAAAACGTTATTAATTTCGATGTACGTAAATTATTCAAATAATTGTTATCATGCGCATCGCTGAAACGGTGAATCTGGGGATATTGTTAATATTCTAAAAAATAAAATGAAACCTGTGTGAAAGAATGTATGCGATATTTATATTAATATCAACGCAGTGTAAATAAAAAAAACGTACGCCATCATTTACTATTTATACATACTATATATTTTTTGTGAGTATTAAAGAAGAGATTTTATCGTAAAAAAGATATATTATCAGATGTCGCGTTGTTGACACGTTTGAATGTATTAAGCGGCGAAGTTTTTCGTAGCCACGTATTTGCGAGTCAAATACTTTTATATCTGTATTTGATTTTCAATAACAACTTTGACTTTACTATCTGAACAGAAACTTCCACTACTGCTCGATATAATATCGTGTGTATATCGTTAACGACGCATATCATTACCTTTTGTAGGCGTGGTATTGTTTTGAAGGACGTATTAAACGGTCGTATCCGCGCATTATGCAATTTGTACGTTTGCACAGCGCGGTGCAAGAAAATTTTCCCGTATTCGTTGGCTTTGACGATTTAACTGCATATGAAGAAGACATACGGATCGCGGGGAATTATGCAGATTGTCACTCGACAATTTACGCTTTAGGATCGCGCGGAGATTGGTCTTTTTAAGTCGCAATTTGTACAGTTACGCTAGCCGAGAATTGGCCGAGCGGATATGCTTAACATTTATTGAATTCCTAAACTTACAAGTTTTTTTTTCTTCACGTAGATCGTAAAAATTGTGCTCAAAACCCGTAAAAATCTAATTATTCGCGCGTATAACGACGAAATAGGTAATTGCTTTGCGTGAAAACCGTCGAAGAAGTAAAAATTCAACAGTCGACAATTTGCGCTTTAAGGATGCGTGAGGAGATTGGTTTCTTTTAAAATCGCAATTTGTATGGCTGTACGTCGATAATTGGCCGAGCGTACGTTTGACATTTATTGAATTATTGAATTTACAAATGTCCCTGCACGCAGACCGTAAAAACTGTGCTTGAAAACCGCAGGAACCTAATTGTTCGTGCGTACGATGAAATATATACTTAGGCACTTATTTTGCGTGAAAACTACCAAGGAAGAAAATTCGTCAGTTGACAATTTACGTTTTAGGTTCAAAGATTGATCTTTTTAAAGCGGTGTCTACAATGAGACTTAAGACTTATTACTTAAGAAAATTGACCAATCACAATTGATTATTCTTCTCACGTGAGATGAATAATCGACTATAATTGATCAATTTTCTTAAATCTCAAGTCTTAAGTCTCATTGTAGACAACGTTTAAGTTGCAATTCGTACAGTTACCCCGAGAATTAACCGAGTAAATGCATTTGACATTTATTAAATTCCTTAGTTTATAAGGTTTTTTCTACACAGACCACAAAAACAGTCTTTGAAAGTCGCAGAAACCTAATTATTTTGCACGTGCCCGACGAGATAGGCATTCGTTTTGCACGAAAATTGCCGAGGCAAAAAATTCGCTACTTATAGCAATAGAGATAAGGCGTTATTATTGCGTTAAATATTAGACCATCGGTTGAAAAAAGAATGAAACTTCTTTTATTAAATTGCCATCTATATATTGTAATAACCATTTATGTCGCAACAGCTGCAGGCATGGAATATTACAGGATAATTCAAAAGCAAGCGTTATGTTTACTTGTCCAAGCGATTAATCAATGTGCACTCATGTGACATTTATATTTATTAATTATTGGAGGTAGTTTCAAAAATTTCATATTTCTTATTTGTGTCAGAGGGAAATTGTCAATTTCGACGTTAAGTATATTTGTTGCTAAAGAACTTGCAAGTTACTTCAAATCCAATGCATATTGCACTGTGCACAATTGTTTACTGTAGTAACAGAAAATGCATAAAAATGCGACCTTCTTTTTAAATTGCTCTGTAATGTTGCATTTATCGAATGATAATATCTTATCGTAATAGTTGATTAAAATTGTTACAACTATTATACTTATACGCACATTACACGTGTTACGTGGCAGATAATAAAGTCGAAATCAATGATCATCAGACTGTAACGTCGTATATTTCGTTGAAATATAAGTCTGCACGAGCAATAGATGTGACATATGACAAGCGATAAATATCGGCATTCGGCGACAATGATAGATATCTCGAAAACTGTCCGAACAGAGATTTCAGATACGTCCAAAATCGTATTTTGTCAAATTTATATTTATTCCGATGGCATTTGAAGCAGAAAAAAATTTATGCGTTGTTTATACACAGAATCAAAAACTGCCACTCTATATCTTATTTTACATCAATATAAGATTTTTACAGTTGCAAACAAATGCGAGTTTTATTTAACGAGAGGATTTTTATATGATTTACAGAATAATATTTTTCTAAATAAATATCGTAACATAATTTCTGTGTATGCGCGCGCATATTTTTTGTGATAAAAATTTTGCTGAAATAAGATATTGATCCTCTTATAATTATATACAAATATATTTGTTAAATACACAATATTTGTAAATATTTATTAAATAGAATAGAATGAGAGTTTTTGGAGCAGTAAGTAAGGCACGTCTTGAAGATGTTGTATTAAAGATCTTTATTAACTACTTGTCTGATCCATGTTTAGACAAGTATTTATGGATTAGACAAATATTTAACAAAGATCTTTAATACAACATCTTCAAGACTTTATGCGCTTTACCACGTCAAAAACTCTCATTAGCTCTTTGTTACTATTCTATTTGACAATTTCGAGAGTTCGTTAATATTGTTTAAATATTTATTCTTTGTATTTTAAGTTATACATAGAAATTTTTCCACTATTTGTTTTTTTTTTCAGGATGCTCTACAGGATCTGAAAAAGTCTTCCTCATCTAAGGAGCGTTATGCGTGAGTGTCTAATATATAATGAATTTTATAAAATTTTACAGAAAATATAAAAAAAGTAGGCTTCTATTTATTATACACCTACTCGGCCTTATATTGTTTTTCAAGATTTTCTATTTTCTAATTTTAAACATGACGAAAGATGCTAATGCTGTAATTTAAAATCAGTATAGAACATCTCAGTACAAAAAATCAGTATAGAAAAAATTAATATCATGCAAGTTATATCGATACTGCTTTTATTATCTCAGACGTTTAAGCTTCAGCTCGCGTATCTTTGTTTAGAACGTGAGATTTGCATAAAAGTTATATTCTTTATAGTTACGAATCGAGGGAGAAGAATGGTGACGGTATTTACGTTATGGAACTCGAAGAAAAGAAAAAGAACGAGCAGGAAAATGATTATGACCCATATGACTACAGAGTGGTAGAGCATCCGACTACGTAAGTTCAGCAATTAAAATGTATTTTGCGTTGATTTATTTTATTCATGGCGCGATAACATGGAAAATGGAGAGAATAGGAAATTTACCGCCTGCATAACAGATAAATATACTTGTTTATACTCATTAATCTTTTTATATAATGCTTATTCGTGATATATTTCAGTGAATACTTAAATTCAATAAAAATCCATACTTTCAATATGATAGTTTTATTAATACTAGTGTTAGTATAATAAGTATATACAAAAACGAGTGTAAATAAAGAGCGAGAGGGGAATGAAAGATTAACGTATCAATATTTCTGTTTTTGTTATCGAAAATAGTAGTCGAAAATAGTACTATTAGAACTATGCCGAAAGCTTAAATGCATTCCTCTTTGATGGGATGCGTTCAGATTTCCCATCTGAATTCACCCAGATATTTTATCCTTGATGAGCTACAAGGATAAAATGATAAGTGCACAGGAAATCCGAACGCAACCAAAGGAGAAGTAACCGTCTCTATCTAAAAATAATAGACGATAACTTGTTATTAATATGATATCTTAAGATATTTGATAGTTTCGAGGATATGTCTTATATCATGATATAATCAAAAAGAGACATTTTTAATTATCAGTATAATACATGTCTCTTTTTGTTATTTTATCAACTTGATAAGTTTGACGATACTGGTAGTTACTCTCTGTAACTTGCTAAATTTTTTTTTAACTAATAAAGATTACATAAGACGCGATTATTGTCCACCGTATTGCTGAATCGTAATCGTCCGATCGGATTTTATTGGATCATCCAATTTATTGATGTGTTAATCAAAGTGAAAAACGATACAACTTGTCTTATTCAAGGTGACCAAGAATATTATGTAACTCGTATTACTTCCCTCGTGCACGCGAAATGACGTTTTCCTCATACGCGCCAGTTGCCTTATTAGCGTAATTTTCTAATTAGATTGAAGCAGATCGAAAGACTCGATAAAACGTCTTCTCGATGGAAACGCGAAGCACGCTTGTCCTAATCTATTAATACATATATTATATGTATAACTATATTAATTATTATCTCTTTCTCGCGCTGCAAAACTATTAATAACTCATACTAATTATCAATAATTTTAATATAATTTTTTAATTTAACTGTATTTTAATACTCGTATAACATTTATTTTTTCTCATTGATTTATTTATATGATTTCAAATCTAGTAGCGCGTAAGATTAAGAAATCGCGCGCAAAAATCCTTTCTTTGGATCTATTTAATTTATGATATAGTTTGCAATTTCAATACAATCGCCAGTGATCAGTAATGGCATATATCCGGTTTCCTTACGACGTGATCTTTCAGCAATGCGGAAACTGCTCTTCACCTGCTAAAAGGCAGCTTGGGCACCGGGATCCTCGCGATGCCGAAAGCTTTCCACAATGCCGGATACATCATAGGCACAATATCCACGATCATCATCGGGCTCCTCTGTATATATTGCATGCGAATTCTCGTACGCTCGGAGTACGAGCTGTGCAAGAGGAAAAGGGTGCCGTCCATGTCGTATCCGGCGACCGCGGAATCCGCTCTGCTCGAGGGACCAATGTGGATGAGGCGGTTTGCGAAAGCCTCCATGTGAGTATGTTACGCTTTTTTCCGACGTAACTTCAGGAAAGAAAATGTACGAGGACTTACACTTAGCCTCTTGCAAAGTTGTTAGTTGCCGCTGATAAGAATGGCAACGCACGATAACTAAATGTGATAAATGATAGTTTAAATGTTACTGCAATATATATAATTGCCTTGTAATTTTTATTATAATTAAAATAATGGGGCTGCAATTAAGAATTTTAGTCGCAACTTTTAAGTTACGTCGATACTATGAACGAAAAATTCATTTTCCATTTGCAGACATATAGTGAACGCTTTCCTGCTGATCTATCAGATGGGCACCTGTTGCGTCTACATAGTTTTTATTGCTAGTAATCTGCAATCGGTGAGTGTCCTTATTATCTTCAGCTCATATTACGCTTTTAAATGTCATGCTTCTTCGCAAACATTATTTGAAACTCAATGTTAGAACTCAATGCTAAAACTTTCTTTATCTTTGAATTACAAATCATGTTATCTTTACTCATTTAATACGCGATGCTTTTTCGATATAAGTGAAGGTTAAGAGTCGAACAATCACGTTCAACAAGCAAAATGCTTTTCTTTTGCGTATCTCCTGCGTTATAAGATCGTAAGACACCGATGATATATCGATAAAAAATATTTGATTTTAATAAATCAAACTTTGTCATCTTCCGAACGAACATATCAAGTGAAGAAAATCGATTTTATTAACAAATATTTTTATTAAGACAATATTAGATCAGATATTAAAACGTATGCTTTTATAGTACATAACTTTGTGACAATTCAATTTCACATATGTATATTATTAAGTTCATTTCGTACTTGTTTACTCCACGTCGGTCGCAACAATTCGTTTGGATTCTTTCTCGGTGCACCAATCAATCCGATATCGCGTATCTGCCAGTATTACGGCGCGTAGGCTGAAAAGGGAAATAATCTAGGTCAGGGAAATACACTGTAAGAGAGAATACGCAAGTAGACAGTCACCGGTAATTAATGCACTTACGGTTGAGTCAAGGTGATCGGTACCTAACACAGACGGCCGGTCATCGACATTTCTCGACGACGGCGTCCGCGCGTCGCGTCGAGATCAAAATCGAAAATACGAGTCGTTGTTAACGCGAACTTGCCCGAGTTTTGCGAAAATGCAGTTTGCCTCATGAACCTTATTAGTAAGTCAAATTCGATCATTATAGTGTGTGTGTATATATAGGATGGAAATCAAGAAGTTGAAAATTAATAATAGAGTACAGTGGGGTAATTTGAGTAGTGGGCTAATTTAGATAATAGTAAACATTTGCAAGAATTTCAGAAAAATAAGAGATTTTAAGATATATTTGATTATATCAGACATTGATATAATGAAATGTATCTTACGATCTCTTATTTTTCTGAAATTCTTGCAAATGCTTGCTATTATCCAAATTACTCCACTGTACCCTATTATTATTATTTTATAATAATAAGTGGGACAAAAAACAAGAAATGATTTAAATATTATATTAGAGAAGAGAAAAGACAGAGAGAGAGAAATCAGTTTTATTAACATACAATACAAAGAGGAAATATGAATTTATAAAATAAACCTAAAAAAGAATCAACAATTTGATTGAATGGCTTACAAGTGATATTTACCTTCGAAATAACAACCACATGAACTTGCACAATAATTGAGACGCTGTTGAAAACTATTAAATGTACTTTCTAACATTAATACGTTGATTGCCATGGTAATCATCCGTGACCGGCGCCTGTCATCTGAGTAGCGCTTTAATAGTCACTGATGACCAGTATTATCGACATTTTTTTTAAATTACTTCCAATTAGACTGCTGTTAGCTAATACTATTAATATTACATCATATTTTTTTCGTGTATCACATTGAGCCATGTATAATCAGTAAAATTTTTTGTTTTCTTACGTTTATTTTTACAGTCTTATAATGATTCATTTTCTAGCACTATGTACTAACAGGAATGACAGCTGATTTCTTTTGCAGAGTAATGTTCAATTTATTTTATTTTATCGATTTGTTATAAAACAGCTATTTAATTTTAACAACTTCTCGATTGTCCATCCTATAAGTAACATCAGTGTGATTAATACATTTCACACGTGTGCGCAAAAGACGGCTCGGGTGAATGTAAGCGGCATACAAGTTACAATATTTGTATATATATATACAAGTTACGATATCTTCTCTATCCTCGTAACTTTTCCTCGTAGGAGGAAAAATTATTTTTTACATGATTAGGCTAATACATCTTGGTATTAAATGATAAGAGCCGCGTCGCGGATTGTAGACATTACAAATGGACATATTTTCGCACAATCGTATACACGTCCTATATTCTTGTATTCCACGTATACGATCGTCGTGCGAAGTACATCCGCACTGTGAATGATTTATTATGGAATTCCACTATCTCGCCGCGGTCGCACGAGAGTCGTTGCAGCGGCGCGAAACGAATGGAATCTTATCACGAGCGCGGTAAGATCAAGTGGAAGTGAGAGTCGCTCGCGAATCGGACAGGCGTTAACTTAAGTACCATTCACATAACGATTATACACGGTGTGTACAATAGCGCGGGAGAATTTTTTTTTTCTTTCGTAACTCCCTTTTCATTTGCAAGTCGTAAAACCGATCGTTAACGCGCGCGCGCTCTTGATGACGTATAAAGCGCCGTTGCGCACGCGGCAGATTGGACGGAAAAGGCCGGAATTCCTGCGATCCAGCCGTTTAGAACGTAATTTTAAAGAGTCATATCCTATCGAACAGTGTATTCTTGTCGAACGGGTCGGAACACCTTCGCGATCGCGCGCGAAGTAAGAGGCGACGGAGAGGCGATTTGACTGCAGGTGTGGTGCGATCGGTGAATTGACGCCTAACAGACATTTTTTTTTTGTGGAATACGCACCATATATGAAAAGGAATTTTCGCGTGCCCGCTGCGAGACACGCGGTTGCACCGCGGCGGCGCGTTTGTGACGCAATTTCGCGATACACACGACGGCATTAAGCCTTATGTGGACGACACCTTAGCCCGCGCGTATTGGAAGGCGTTGCGTAGCGCGCGATGTAATAGATAGTTAACTATCGTTACGACACATATGTTATTACGGCAACCAAGTCAAATGTGAATAAATGTGTATGTATGTGTGTGTGTGTGTGTGTGTGTGTGTGTGTATGTCTGGAATGGATGCAACGCGTGCGTTCCGCGTTGAATGCCGCCTGCATTCGTGGCGAACGAACGCGCCGCGACTTCATGGTCGGATGTGAAGTGAGCGGAACTGTGTACAAAGTTGATACACATTAATCTCTTAAAGAGTCGCATGAATATCAAGGTATCCTTAAACTACGATTTTAAGTACAGACGTTATGTCAGACTCGTAACTAATAAACCAATTATAATATAAATCTCCATTAATATGGAAAGAGAGAGAGAGAGAGAGAAAGAGAAAGAGAAAGAGCTTCGAAAATATAGGACAGATAATGAAGAAGAAATACAAATTATATATATAATATTACATGAGATACAATTTATAAAAATGGAATATATAAAACAATATAAATATTTTTATATATAAATAAATATTCAAAAATTTTTATATATATTTTCTATATATACATACTAGTTTTTTAAAAATTACGATATATATTTAAGTGTGATACATAATGTTAATTACAATATAAAATATAACAAATATGTACAACAATAACAACATTAACTAAATTAAGTGCAATACATCATTATTGCAGATAATATCTAAAGTTTGCAGTGTATAAAATTTCATTTCTATTAATTTGAGATCTTTGATAATTTGAGCAGATTACTCAAGTATAAACATTATTGGTAAATGTTTATAGCAGTAATATAGATATTGAATAATATTTAATAAGATATGATTTATCCAAAAATGGCAAGGAGACATCAAAGAATATTATAAAATTATTCTTTCCAAGAGAATGATAAGAAGAAAGTAGAATGAGGTTTATTTTCATACTTAATACATAAAGAAACAATGCTATCAGTGCAATCTAAATGTTCAAAAAATTCCAAAAGAGAGAGGAATATATAGGATTTCCAAGAATTTAACTTACAGAAGAAATCCTAAAATCAGTCTGACTTACGATATGCTGCTTACGTGATTTTAGAAGCAATTGAATAAATTATTTTTATAAGGAAGTTTCTCTGACGACGAATTATTCGCTCGAGCATAGATCCGCAGCTATACTTAATGCGCATTATGCAATAATTCAATAACGAATACGTCAATAAACGAAACAATATTCGAAACTTTAACTGCTAAACTTTAATTCTTTAAGAGTCTTTAAAAGATTGTTTTTAACTTAAACATCAAATATAAATGACACAAGTATTTTGTCGTTAAAACTAAAAACGAGTTTCAAGATCCTCACTCAGCATCATTCCAAAGGCTTTACATTCGCTATTTATAATACCTTTTAATATTATATCTTCTTTAATATTTACGTTTATATATGTTGAAAAATATCTCTTTTCCGATTAATTTCGCCATATCGTACTATTTCTAAATTTTTACTTCTACTAATTATTTTCTAATTTACTTGAAAAATCGATTTGCACAATTTTAAAATTACAAGATATGCAGAAATTTTTATAATAATATTTATATATATATATATATGCGCAGATGTAGTGCTTCCGTGTAGATTAATTTTATATAATTAAAAATTAAATCAAATATTGCATGCAATTAACTGATAACATAAGACCGATTACACGAAGTGTAATCTACGAAGTGTAATCACGAAGTGTTACATATCTATTGTAGCGATACAATCGATCGCCACAGTGAGGACGATATAACGAAAAGCTGCTCTATCGCGTATTGTTGTAATCGGATTACAGACAATATCTTCTATATCTATATGGAAATTTTCAAGGTGATTCTGACTTAAGTCATAATATATAAAATTATCTTTTTACTTTGAATATTTCTATTTTTTTATCGACATTAATAATAATTTCTCGAAGTAACGAAAAAATTTCGCAAAATATATATATACCTTCCGAATTAAATGATAATTAATAGCAACTGACAACAGATTCGTAATTATCCCTTTATATAATGAGTACAAATGCAGGTACGTTAACTTTCAAGGGTGAAATTCTATCGATCGCATGTCAGCGGCATGTTGTAAGGCTGTATACCTATCTATCTTACGTAAGGCGAAGGCTAGATTCGACACAGCGATAAACGAAAGCTGTTAAACGGTAGACGGTGACGCGCCCATTTCCGCCTGCCCTTGAAATCGAAGCGTAATTAACGACAGCACATCACACAGATACGAGAGCGGTACCGTGTAACGTGTACCGTTTTAGCTAAATATTTGCGAGACTGCGTGGCGTCAATATGTCTTCGATCTTGCGCGTGCATCTATAGAGTTATAAGTCTAGGCGCAATGACGCCACTTGATACGCCTTCGACAGCTGTATAATTTGAAATTCTCGGAATCGTGACGAATAGAAAATGTTGCACGGACGTGCATGCCATTCGAAGCGACCGTGTAATGGCGATACAGAAATTTAGTTAACGTACGTCATTAATCGTACACGTATACGCGACTTAACGATGATTTATTTTGCGGTTTTAATGTTTCTCTTTTTTCCCTCTCTTCTACGAAAGCACAAGGAGTATTAGGTACGCATATACGTTGATGTCGATCGCATAAATTAGCAATCTGAGATACAATGACGCACGCACGTTGTGAAGCCTTTTCACTCATGTTCACGTTTATTTGGAATTGTACAAAAATTTACACTCGTTAGAGAGTTAATTCTATGTCGAAGTAATTTGTCCTCTCTTGCAAAAATTTTACGATACAGTTATATTTTTAACGATTATATTTTCTTTACGTCGATGAAGAAGAGCCGAGCTGATGATGTTTCATGAGCGATATATGGCATATATTGTGATCTGCAAGCATCTCTATTGCTTTCACGTTTTACTTACATCACTTAATAAAGTAAGCAAATCTTTTTGGAGAAAAAGTTTGCACGTTTAGTAACGACATAACAAAATCAGCACGAAAAAATGTATTTTGATAAATAATAGCAAGTGACTAGTTGACTTTTCCTATCCGTTTCAACTTACTTTTGGCTTCTTTTGAAAATTTCGCCGTTTCGCGCAAACGCAAATTCAGTTTTCAATGAAATTCCGAATGAATGAGAAGATGGGCGAAAATAATCAGTTATCCGTGCGTCGTTATGTTTTCAGATGCTACGTGATTGAAACACGTAAGTGTCGTAAACTGGGGCGAAAAGTTTTCTATCGAGGGACATGGATAGGAAAGATGATGACCAAGATCGCATTGACGAGAGAAAAGGACGGTATGTATATATACGCCTCGAGAAATCTAGCACTTAATTACGCATTCAATGTCGACATAATGTGGTAGGAGAGACAAAAGTGCTGATTATATACTCCTCTCGGCACATAGCTGTCAATATGATTAGTCGTATTAACGGAAATAGCTTCGTTATCCTTTCAAGGTTTCCTTGGAGTATTTTGAAGAATCCGTCGTTTTTTTTATAGGCCTGCGGCGTAACGCTACTTAACACGTTATAAAATGCGTAAGACATCCTTACGTTTAATCGAGCTTTCGTTAAATTATGGGAACGAAAAGTTAGAAAAATTCAACCGTGCTGGCGTCTGCATCCGAACGCGGTGTACGAAAGTTGCATGTCCATTTTCATGAATAATTTTTATCTAGGAATAAAAAGTCTGTAGGATTATAGCACGTCTATGACCGTCTGTTTATTGATAAACTCACTATCTCTATTTAATAATTTGATAGGTCACAATGCTTTCGTTAAGCACATTAAATATTTTTAATACTATATTTAAAAATTAACTCACAATTAAAACACAATCTTTTTGTTAAGCATTCAATGTCTTAATGCCTTATTTAAAGATCAATTCACAAATAGTGAAATCTGATACAGTTGACAAATACAGTTGAACCTCGGTAACTCGAATCTCAAGGAAAGAGCTATAAAAATCTTCGAGTTATAGAGATTTCAACTTATCGAAGTTCGAGTAAAAGAGAGTTAACATATGAAAATTCGACGTATGGAAGCTTTGTACGAGAGTTTACAATTTTCCGATTATAATGGCTTTTATAAAGGAAAGAATTTAATGGCTTTCGAGTTATGGAGGTTCGAATTATCGAGGTTCAACTGTACTTTTATTGGCGTTAAATATCTTAATAAAATTTTGAATGATTCAATGGAATTCTTCTTTTAAGTGTTAAATGCTATTTTGATAAAATTATGTTCAAGAAAAAATTGAATAGTCTGTGATAGTACTTATTAAGTAAAGCCAATTTTGCATATGTGTGCATTACTAAATAATCATTCTCTTTCTTTTATTTTAGGCGTTAAATTCATATGTCAAAATGGACTTGGAGGCATACATGGGGATTATTCTGTTACCCTTGATCTTAGTTAATTACATCAGGAATCTTAAATTCTTAGCACCGTTCTCGACGGTAGCGAATATTATCATGTTCACTGGGTTCGCTATCATACTCTACTTCCTCTTCCGAGAACCGATATCGTTCGAGAATCGCGTGGCATTCGGCAAGGTTACGAATTTTCCACTCTTCTTTGGCACCGTGCTGTTCGCTCTTGAAGCCATCGGCGTAGTAAGTACTCGATTGAGATATACAAACAATATTTTACATTTTACATTAAAAAGGGGGCTAAATGTATAGTTATATAAATATGATAATAAATAAATGTAAAAAGAAAAGTTAATTTTGTGTAAATTGAATATATAAAAGGAAATATTAAATTATAAATTATACATGACAACTTATAGTACTTATATGCATTACTTACTTTAATTTAATTTTTAGTTTATTGCCTACTTTAAAAATACAAAAATAAAGTATTTTTTCAATAAAACAAGAAATAAAAATTTTCAATAATAAATATTTTTTTCTAATCAAAAAACTGTTAGGGAATATGTTAGCCATTTATTTGTACTTTTAAAACTCAAATCTCTTTTTTATAGTTTTCCACGTATAACTTTAAATAAACACTTATCTAAATTATAATAATTTGAATTTTTTGCAATATCTATATTGTTGAAGATATCCGAAAATGTTGCAGTATAACAGCTGTATGTACGTAAATTCAATTATATATTATTTTTCATTTATTTACAGATCATGCCACTGGAAAATGAAATGAAAAACCCTAGATCTTTCATGAAGCCATGCGGCGTTTTGAATCTGTCAATGGGTACCATAGTCGCAATGTATACTGCCTTAGGATTATTCGGATACATGCGTTACGGCAGCGGAGTCGCTGGCAGTATCACGCTCAATCTGCCTGAGGAGAAGCTGGGAATTGCAGTGCAAATCCTTTTGGCTATCGCTATCTTCTTCACGCATCCCATCCAGTGTTACGTAGCCATCGATATAGCGTGGAACGATTACATCAGTCAATACTTGGAAAAGTATCGTTTTAAGCTGCTCTGGGAGTATATAGTCAGGACTGTAATAATTTTGATTACTTGTGAGTACAATTCAATTCGACCTTATCGTTAAAATCGAGAAACGTAGACAGATATAAGAACTCAATAAGATCAGCATCTTTGCCCGGGTAAAAAAATTTTTCATAATTCTTATATATATAATATTTTAAAAAATTTTTCATATTTTAGATTTATAAAGAAATGAAAAACTTTAAATAAATTTTAAGAGAACGTCTTCTATGGTCAACACTAGATCTTGGTGCCTAATAATGTTTCTGTATAAATTTTAAATTTATTATTCAGCCATTTAAAATTGCGCGTTAAACTAATGTCTCGGATTTGCAACGCAATCATTAGCTGAAGCTGAAATAGTGAGATCACAATTGATCTTCAATTTTTAATAATCCGATGCGAATAAGCATCTTAAAGCACTGCGAAGAAAACAAAAATCTTAAAAATCTTATATTTCAGAATTTACATATATGTATAAAGAATTCTAGAAAAGTCTTTCTGATTGTGAGCATTTTTAAAAAGTGTTCCAATTTCAAAAAAATCTGAAAAATTTTTCAAAAAGTTAGAAAATTATACAGAAATTCTAAAAAATCAGTTTTGACATTTGTATAGAAGGTCTAAAAAATTATATGAAGAACTCGAAGAAAAATTTTCACCAGGGCTGATCTTGTTTACCCACAAATCGTGCTCCTTAATCGCATTGATACTTGTTTCGAAGATAATACTTTAAGCAATATATTCGAATAAATCAAACAGAGGAATATTAAATGTTATTAATAACGGCTATTTAAGATTTTTGCAGAATTTTTGTTTCTGCAAAACATTTTATATCTGCATATTGATATCATTTTTCTCAGAGTCAATTCGATAACTTTGTTGAATTAACGATTCCTTACGTTATATGTCTGATATAGAAAAAAAATTTTAATCCATCAAGCGATCCTGTTTAATCAACTTGTCGATTTACGCGATCTGTTTCAGTCGCTCTGGCGATCTCGGTCCCGGCGTTGGACCTCTTCATATCGCTATTCGGAGCGTTCTGCCTGTCAGGCTTGGGGCTGGCTTTCCCGGCGATCATTCAATTGTGCACCTTCTGGAAAGTGATGGGACCCGGCGAGAAGAAAATCATGCTGGCGAAGAACATGTCCTTGGTGCTGATCGGGGCATTGGGCCTGGTCATAGGTACTTACACGAGTCTCCGCGAGATCATCATCAGCTTCTCATGAGCTTCATGATGTGTTCGAGAAACTGTGCGACAAAAACTGTTAAGCGGGATGAGGAAGTGATCGAGGAGGAAGCGGAAGTGAACAGAAATCGCGTTCTCCGTGCGAGAAACGACGACGACGTGATAGGGTGCGTTCCACTTAACGCCCACAACGACCACGACTACGACCGCAATATTTGCCGTTCCACTTGCTTAGATATGGGCAAACAGACGACAAAACGACCGCGCCGACCCACCTACGAATCATGAGCGTCGTGAGCTTGTTCGCGGTCGCGATTAATGACGTTAGATATGACGTTTTGAACGCGTCCACAACGATCGCGATCGTTATGTGGAACAGAATTGTAGGCGTCGCAAGCGTTGCGGGCCTTAAGTGGAACGCACCCGTAGTTGAAGTTGTTCATTGCTAAAAGTGAGTGCACCTAAAAATACAAGGCGCATTCAGTGGCACTGTGAAGCCGAGGGACTGAAATAACGTTAACTTCTTACGGGCTCGCATCACATTTCGGCTTCGATTCGTCGGGGACATGATGAAGTTCCTAAGTGCATTCGTTGGTCATTTTTTTTTTTTTTTTACGCGTGATATAGAAGACTGCGAGTGAAGATACGGACTGTACAATGACGTGATGAAATGTGGCTCGCGTCAGCGTTAGCGTCAGCGTTAGCGTCGATTACGGTACAGCAAAAATATATTTATATGTATATGTATAAATATGTAAAAAGGTTTTACCATATTATAAATAAAAGAGTTTTATTTTCATACTGCCGCCCCTTTTGCTCTCATATTCTTTTTCGTATTTTGCCGCGGGCGACTGAGCTATCGATTCTGTCATTTAAATACAAAAACATTTCTGACCGTTGTTTTTATTAATAGAAGAACAGATGTAAGATATAACAGATATAAAAGTGTATTTTATATGTATACACAATTATCATGCAACGAATTTATTAGACAAAAACAAATCGATATTCCAATGTAAAAGCAGATCATTGTTTAAAAAAAGAACAAATACATTTATCAATGATATATATATTTATATGTTTTATGTAAGTTTCCAAACATTGATTCAACATTGGTTGTTAACAAATCGATATCGTATTATTGCCCGAAATGTAGGCGAAAGAATTTTTCTTCCTCTATAAGCAACAAAATATATTCATGATATGAATTTTATATTATATTCTTGTAATATTCTTGAATATCAGGAAGATAATTCGAAAGCTTCTTTTTTCTAGTTTTGCAAATTATTTTTATAATTATTCACATTAAGACAGCATGATTGTATAATATTTTGTAAAATATTAGGCGTAATATGTATGCTATTTTATTTAGCATACATTCATGACTTAATAAGAAATGTTATGAGATTACGAACAAAAAATCGACGAAATCTTTGTATAAGTATCTTCTATATAAATATCAAATATTAAATGTTGAACGTTAAATATCTGCTTTTAAAAAGATTAAGTAAACATTTTTTAATTATAGAAATAGATTTATCGCGGCAGGACGTTAGTCTCAGTGTTTAAAAGTACTTGTTGTTATCCACTGTTATTATTCAAATAATTTTTTTCTTCTCTATTATTTTAATCTAATAAAATTATAAATAAATAAACCGTTTAATATCTTTTTATATTTTAATGCTTCAGTTATTTTCATTTTCCCTAGCGATTGAGTTACGCCGGTTTTGCCGGCTTGACGCACAACTTTTACTTTCAATCAGCTCACCTTGATCAGACCGTAATACTCGGCGACCGTGCGCAAGTCTGATAAACCGTTCGCTTCACCCGCCGCCAGACGTCGCTGGGGACTATCTGTCGTATGGATCGCGCGGAGGGTAGTTACCCTCCCCGGTGTGACCTAAAGGGAATCCGTCCTTAATTCTCGCGGACAGTGGAAAGGCGCCGTGGCTGCCTGCGGCCGCGCGCGGCATTTTCTCGTTGCTCAAAGCACGCGCCCGCAGCCCCTCGGCCGAATGCGAAGCCCGCGTCGGGGATGCTGCCAGGGGGCGCGTGCCCGCACGCACGAGAATTCGCCTCGCGGTCTTTCGTCCCCTCCGTCGTAACTTAGTTTACACGCTGTGTAGCTTGTGATACAGTGTCACCCTCGCGTGCGTGCTGAGCGACGAACGAATATAAGACGCGAACGTAAGTTCTGCACGGGGTTGCGATCTTTACTGGCGCATTATCATCATCTTTTCGCGTTCAGATTAGCGGTATCAACTGTAGCTAGTAGTAGCAACGATGCCTGAAGCTTTCTGTTTCCCTCTAAGCTATATTGTTCATCTTGTTAAGCCGATTCTGTGCATTATTTATGTGATTTCTCCGTACGAGCTTTCAGACCTCGTTTCAAGAAGAGACTTGTGATAGTTTGCAAAGTATAACGTTTTGTCCCTTTTTTATTTATTGTGATCAATCTTCTTTCTGATAGCGTCTTCAGATAACAAAGAAGATGTACTTTGTATCAAAGTATTTATATATTGTATCCTTAAAAAAGTTATTGTCGGCTTCTATCGCGTCGATCCACTCAAAGATTTAACTTAATAGTTCACCGAGATCATTAAAAATTACATAAAATAAGATAATTTAAATTTGAATTGGATTACGTTCGATGAAATTTAAATATGAGAAATAAGTGCTAAGTGTACCAAAATTTCGCGGTTTTCTCGAAGAAAATTAATTGAATTTAATTGTTACTTATCAGTTAAAATTATTGAGCACATATCTTGAGAATAATATAAATTCACAATTAAATTTCACTATGCAGGCGCGAGAAAAATCATTTAGATCAGGAACGTTACGGGAAAATGCATCGGTGAACTATGCGTCAGAATTACATAACATATCGCTTGGCGCTTTTTCGTAACGAGATTCCAAAGTCGTAAGTTATGAGTCTCAAATCGCAAGTTTATTCCGATTTTAAATTGTTGCATGCGAATCTGCTTCCAATTTTAGATTATTGAATTTGTGCATGTATTTCAGTAACGCGGCAGACAAGCAGACAACTTTTAAAACTATCAACTTAAGATATAAGATATTGTAAGAGAATAAGAATCTTATAGAAATTGTTGGTTTAGACAAGGAATAACGAGGTTGTTAAGGTCGATTCCGTTTATTTCTTCTAATGCTTTGTCTTTATAAAGTAAATTCTTATTAGATGAAAAAGATTTAAATATTGAGAGATCGAAATATTACGTTAGAAAACATTTAGAATCTTATAATGCTAACACAATGCGTGGAGAGAGAAGCTATTAATAATATATTTTAATAAATAATATATGAAGAAAATCAGATGTCTTTTCATGTAGTTTGAATAATTAGTGTCAAATATTTTCTTATATAATATTTGGTGACCTCTCTTCTCAAATACATCCTTGTTGATTTGATATTAAGATTGAAGTTTTAAACAAAGAATAACAGGATTTTTTATTCCTTTTAATTCTTCCGCTTTAAAAATACAATAAAACTCTATCAAAAAATATGTTAAGGGACAAGACAATTTCAATAACCAAATGATGAAAATAATAAAGGCTCATTAGCTCTTCCCTCTACCAGTACTTATTATTATAATTTCGATTATAAATTGACGTTCAGCTAGAAAATTGAAGTCCAGTCTAAACTCCGATCCATTAGTATCAAATCAACGAAAATGTATTGTGATGAAGGTCGCGAAAGTAAAGGAAAATGTTTGACAATATTTATTCGAAATACATCGAGAAACGTGACTTTCTGATTTTCTTTGATGAACTATATTAAGGCCTATGTAACAAGCTATCGTCATTTGTCGTCATTTTGTCGCCACTTTTCGTCAAAATGACGTCTAATGTCGTCAAAATATCACAAAGAACGCTTGCCACCTAGGCGATTTTTATCGTAATTTTAACGTTATAAAATTTGATAAACAATATTGTGAGATGTCTTAAATCTTTATCGTCTAATAAAGATTTACATAAACGGAGTACAGAAATAGAATTCCATTTATTTAACAAATTCATGCTTAGTGACAAATATATGAAATATCACAGAGCTCGTATTATTCGAACCAAGTATGTGCTAGCGTATATAAAATATATCTCGATGTATTTCGAATAAATATTGTCAAACATTTTCCTTTACTTTCGCGACCTTCATCACAATACACTTCCGTTGATTTGATACTAATGGATCGGAGTTTATAGATCAAAGTTTTAACACATATAAGTAACGGTCGCTCGCGCGCGCGTGTAAATATAACGTGTTCGGTTTGTCTATATTATGTATTATGTACCTCAGTCGACGTTATGTACCTTTATCTTATTAGCTAGATAATATAAATTGAAGTTATAAATCGATCATTAATTAAATCTTTTTAATGACACGATATGAAAAAACTTATCTGTCATAATTTTATAACAATACCGATGAGATTCCATAAATATTCCATAAATTTCTGCAGTCTCTCTCTCTCTTTTTCCCTTTCATTGAAGAAATATAAAATATATGTAAATAAGTACAGTCGAGAAAAATGATAGCTATTTTGACACAGATTCTATGTTCTCTTCCAACATGTGCTTTACAAAACACGTTACATCTCATCTAAGCTATCACTCACGCTGACGGTCCTCGAACTCTAATTTTACCAGCTGCCCAATCCTTTCTCACCGCTCGACGCACGCTAAGAGATTCGTGCAATTACACAAATATCTTGGCGGTCGCGGACTATGTTTTCCCGTCGCGGGAAAACACTTACGTAATACAATTCTCGAGCTCTCGTAAACCATAAGATAAATGTTGACGTCTGTGGAAATATGAATTAAACCGCAGATATAAACCGACCACTTATCGATTTATGCGAGCGATGACTAAAGCCATTTGCAATATTGATTTCATCTCGGCGAGCAAAGCAACAATCGGGAAAAATAAGAAAACGGATATCTATAATAGCATCTCTTATCTATGATAAAGAGCGATTTTTTTTATTGTTTCTCTTTTTTTTTAGTAGAAAAAGCACGCAAAAATTAAAGTTCAATGCTGTTACAATAATTTATAAATGTAAAGGAATATTTGTAACTCTCGGCTGCGATGTACTATAATAATCGGCAATGGAAACATGTGCTCCTCTTAATAGACCTGGAGTCTCTCCCCGTCACAGTCGCTATTATTGCGCTTTAGAGTATCATATGAACCCGTCGCATAAATCTCCATGTCTCGTGCACGCCACCCACATACATACGTGCATACCGAATAATTATTTCCTATCTTTTTCTCGTAATACAGCACTGTTCTCCATATTAAAAATCTTATATTAATGTTATATAACAGAAGCTTACCGCTATTTTTTAATATCGCTGTTATTAAAAAGGACGTTGCACTCTTACTAGAGATTTACTGTAGAGATTTTCCGTTAAATCATTGAGATATTATCTATTAATAAGCCATTAATTAGTCTAAATGAACGTGGATTGCCGAAACAGATCTGCCGCTGGGAGTGAAAATTTAAATCGCGCAAAGTTGATCGGCAAAAATCGGTCGCGCGATTCTCGCGTTTTTTCCCGAATTTCGGAATCTCGGTGCAATAGCACGCGGCGCGAAATCACGCGGTGCCTAAATCTTCGCTTAGTCGGCGTGCTCTTACGGGATGCCGTTTTAACTCGCTGCATCACGTGACGAACTGTATGCTGAATGCGTACACCGCGATAGAAATTGATGTGGTGCGGGGCAGTCGCGAGACATCCTCGGTCGGTCGCTGACGCATTAGCGCCCGCGGGACAATCGTTTCCTCAGAGTCGGTTTTACATCCGAGGGTTGTAGTCGCGTTTTACGGATGCATTTAACCCGGTAAGTCGAATCTCCCGGTCGCTCCTTCTCCGTTCGCCGAAATCGATTTGAATGCTTCGACAACGTGCCCGTCTCTTCACAATCTTCTGATCGCGAAATAAACTTCACTGCTTTCTCGTTTTCCTTATTTGGTTCTGCAAAACACTTTAATAAGAAATAACTACGTCCAACAAGTACGTGAGTGAGAAAGAGCTAAAAACGAGTCGGTTACGAGTTGTAGAAAAATATCGTTGTTAAAGTGTTTTGTAGAAACACTTAACGACGATATTTTTGTAAAATATTTTAACTCTACTCACGTACTCTCTAAAAGTGAATCAGTGGAATCATCACTGATTGTCAGTGTCATATCCTTTTCCAGTGACATACTTATAGAACTGTGATAAACAGTGATTATTTCAATGTCGCTTCAATGATAATTCACTGATTTAAACAGTGAATATCACTGAAAGACAGTGAATTTCACTGTCAAACAGTCAAATTCACTGTCTTTCAGTAATATTTACTGTTTAAATCAGTGTATTATCACTGAAGTGACATTGAAATGGTCACTATTTATCACAGTTA